AAAAATGAGTAAAATGCGATTCTCAAAATTCGACTTAAGGGGCCACTCCACTGCAAAAACCAAACTAGCCCACAGCAGAGATAAGCAAGTAACAATATACTATTATTAATAGTTAGCAACTGTAAATAAAAATTCCACATTCTCAGGACCTAATTATGCATGGTTGCCATGGTAACGGCGGCCATCTTGAAAAAAACACCTTTTTTACAAATCTAATGTTTTAATAATGTGAACAAATAATGATGGTTTTATTTCTGTTTATTTAACTAGAACCATTCTAGAGTGTACAGTAGCAGTTTGTTTTCATTAAAATGTAAAAGAAACATTTTTTTCAATTTTTATAAAAAATGTATCATTCAAAACAAGGCATACAAGTTATGAAATTTCTTAAAAATAAAAATGTACACAATGCACATCATTCTCACATGTATAGTTACACCATAAAATGAATAATGAAAAAGTACACCAAGTTTCAAGACATTATCTCTGCAAACAGCTAAAACATTAGAGTTACAATAAGCAAAAATCTTGAAAAAACAAGTTTTGAGAAAATTAACTTTTAAACATTTAAAGTGCCATAAAAAAAATCTATCAGCAATATCAGGAAGAAACTTTTAGTATTCAAAGTTCAACATAAGCAGTTGAAAAATAAACCATTGCCAACTATAGTTTGCACATTCTTCTGAAGTTTTACCACTTATAATCTTATAGTGGTTTAGTTTGCACAATTCCGCAGTTTACTTGCACTAAAAGTTAAACCTTTCTGATCAACTATTGACATGTGTATTTGCTATTGTCTTTTTCCCAGACTAACACAAGCTTGATATAGTACATTTAGCATATTTGAACTATAGTTTAATACAAATTTGACAAATAATGTACTAATAATATTCACATACAACTTTAGCTTATGACGACCTTCACAATTCTGCTTGAAGAGGGTGAGCTCAATAACTTGACATCATAAGTTATTTATAGTAGATGGGCACTTTGCTGCTGTATTGCTCTTAAGTTCTAGTACAAACAGCATTTATCTTGCTAATAAAAACATAAGCAGCTTTAGTGGACTTACTTAGTAGTATCGCAGCAAAACTTTGCGCAACAGTATGTAAAATGATGAGAGATTCATTGTTTGTTTTTCAAATCCATTCACCAAGTAAACATCTGAATTTTGAGAAACTAACACCACTGTCTTTATAGATAACATGGCTCTAACATTGACATTATGATGTAGGTGTATCTAAAGTGAGCTTCTTGTAAACCATGAGGTCAAATTTACATTTCACGACATTAAATTTCCTTGCGGAAAGCCCAAAGTTTTATCCACAATGCTTGCACAGTCCTAATTGTGGCATATCTTCTGGATATGTAGATGTCAGCAAGCAAATAATGTAAGGGACAGTTATATTTCTTGATTCTTGTTTGCAGTCAAAACTGATTTGGGTTCACACACAACCAGCTTTTTTTGGCATTCATTGTAGGAATTGTTGGACTGTAAAATAAAAATAAAAGAACAACTTTTATTTAATTTTAAAAAGTTAATAATATACATAACTAGAATGACTAATATTAGCAGTAACTCATCCTATTGTAACAACCTAATAATGTCATAGTCAACAAAATTGTATTTTGAAAAACTAATCATAATGAGAAGTCAATAGGGCTTATATTATTATACTGACCATAGATCAAAACACAAGGAATAAATCTAACCATAAATTTAGAAAACTGCTTATACTAAAATTTAACCAATATTTATATTTTAGTCAATACTCAGCAAACACAGATGTTAATTTCTAAATATAAAACTACTATCAACTAGAATCTAGATCTAGAGTTCTAGACTATTCTAGACTAGATCTAGAAAATTCTAGATCTAGGTCTACTACAGTACTAGATTCGTGGGTCGTTATGACTGGGTTCTACAGTTTCATTTATTTAAAAATAGTAATTGACAAGCGTGTTTAACATTGGTAAATAGTTAACTAAATTAATTCTTATAAAGGAATTAAGCTGTACTAGACAACATATTAGTAGATTTAGAAACTAATGTCAGCGCGTCAGTCAGTGAAGTCAGTGAGATATCGCTGTGTGGTGGCATGGCGACTACACTAGATCTAGATTTAGCGTCTAGTTATTAAAAAAAAATTACCTTCAAATTTCTTTCGCTGAACAAAGTACTCCTGTCATGGTATCTGTTATTTCGAGCAATAACTGCATTATTTACACGTCATGTTGAAAACAAATGGTTTGTTATTGCAAAAATTGATGTGAAGACAATCACGTAGCCATGTTTGTTTGTTGACAAAAATCCGTCGAACTCGATCACTGCGCATGCGCAGAAAGGTCATTACTAAGGTACGGCTTGAGAATACAAATCGGACCAATGAAATCGCTTGATTTGCGAAATCTTTTATTGAAATATCACATTTGCAAGTAAAATAACTGTATTCGAATGTAGAGTATCGTTTACGGCTCAAACAGACGAAAAAAATGATATATAATATACTATATTTTTCTTTATAGTTGCTTTATAAAAATCAACTCAAAATTTCAGATATTTGATTAAAAAGTTGATTTTTTAAGCAGAGGGTGGTGTCTTTAAAATTATAATTAAAATAGAAAAATGTATCGTACAAGTATACTTGAAACTGTTTTCGATTCTAGGAATATGAAATTTATTAAAACATCAATTTCCTAAAAATATTTTTTTCCAAGTTTAATTAGCATTTTTTACATGTAGAGGCCCCTTAAATAGCATTGAATTTAAATGTTAAAGGGCTAGAACTCCGGAGGACTTTTGTTAGCAGGAACTTTAAACATGGTTGCTTCCCTTACACTGTAATATGTAAGAAGTCGAGCAAAAAAATTTGCTTTTTAAATGTTATTTTTTAAAATTGTGTTTATTCTGACAATTTTAAATTTTTTTTGTAAATTTTTTTAAATATTATATGGTGAATTTTGTTGCTTTACATATACATATGGTATTTATCATTGATAATAACTGTTTTAAGTCCAAAAATGAATTAAAGATTTAAAATTTAATTTTGTTATTAAATCTTTCATATTGCTTGATATTTTCATTCACCAAACACCATCAACCATCAACCAACGGTCAACACCAACTCACCAAACACCATCAACCAACTCACCAAACACCATCAACCAACCCACCAAACACCATCAACCATCAACCAACACCAACCCACCAAACACCATCAACCATCAGCCAACACCAACTCACCAAACACCATCAACCAACCCACCAAACACCATCAACCATCAACCAACACCAACCCACCAAACACCATCAACCAACACCAACCCACCAAACACCATCAACCATCAACCAACTCACCACACACCATCAACTATCAGCCAACAGCAACTCACCACACTGGGCATTGTCCAAGACCAGCAGATCAAACGCCCCCTGGAAACCTGCCCGCACCAAACACCATCAACCAACCCACCAAACACCATCAACCATCAACCAACTCACCACACACCACCAACCATCACCCAACACCAACCCACCATCAACCACCAACCATCAACCAACTCACCACACTGGGCATTGTCCAAGACCAGCAGATCAAACGCCCCCTGGAAACCTGCCCGCACCAAAACACCATCAACCAACTCACCAAACACCATCAACCATCAACCAACACCAACCCACCAAACACCACCAACCAACAGCAACTCACCAAACACCACCAAACACCACCAACCACCACCAACCATCACCCAACACCAACCCACCAAACACCATCAACCAATCGACCAAACACCATCAACCATCAACCAACACCAACTCACCAAACACCATCAACCAACACCAACCCACCAAACACCATCAACCAACCCACCAAACACCACCAACCAACCCACCAAACACCATCAACCATCAACCATCAGCCAACAGCAACCCACCAAACACCATCAACCAACTCACCAAACACCATCAACCAACTCACCAAACACCATCAACCAACCCACCATCAACCATCAACCAACCCACCAAACACCACCAACCAACCCACCAAACACCATCAACCAACCCACCAAACACCACCAACCAACCCACCAAACACCATCAACCAACCCACCAAACACCACCAACCAACCCACCAAACACCATCAACCATCAACCATCAGCCAACAGCAACCCACCAAACACCACCAACCAACCCACCAAACACCATCAACCATCAACCATCAGCCAACAGCAACCCACCAAACACCATCAACCAACCCACCAAACACCACCAACCAACCCACCAAACACCATCAACCAACCCACCAAACACCACCAACCAACCCACCAAACACCATCAACCATCAACCATCAGCCAACAGCAACCCACCAAACACCACCAACCAACCCACCAAACACCATCAACCATCAACCATCACCCAACACCAACCCACCATCAACCACCAACCATCAACCAACTCACCACACTGGGCATTGTCCAAGACCAGCAGATCAAACGCCCCCTGGAAACCTGCCCGCGCCAAATACCATCAACCAACAGCAACTCACCAAACACCATCAACCATCAACCAACACCAACTCACCACACTGGGCATTGTCCAAGACTAGCAGATCAAACGCCCCCTGGAAACCTGCCCGCACATTTTTCACCGTGCCAGCATCCCAGACGACCGTGACACACTTGTCTGGAACTGTCGTCTGCTGACCTCCTCCAATGTCCACCACGGTCCCCACGTGACCTTCACCTCCATCAGCGTCCTCCCACCTCCAGTCTGGTCCCCTGACCACCCTCAGGCCGACCTGCATCCTCCCCTAGGTCCTGGTCTTAATCTGGAAACAACATCACACACTTAGAAACAACATCACACACTTGAAAACATCACACACTTAAAAACAACATCACCCATTTGAAAACATCACCCATTTGAAAACATCACACACTTGAAAACAACATCACACACTTGAAAGCAACATCACACACTTGAAAACATCACACACTTAAAAACAACATCACCCATTTGAAAACATCACACACTTGAAAACAACATCACACACTTGAAAGCAACATCATACACTTGAAAACAACATCACACACTTGAAAACAATATCACACACTTGAAAACAACATCACACACTTGAAAACATCACCCATTTGAAAACATCACACACTTGAAAACAACATCATACACTTGAAAACAACACTACACACGTAAAAACAACACACAGTTGAATGTTCTAAATTCCAAAATTTAGACCCATTCATAACTTCTAAAAGATGAAAATAATGTTTAAAATCACAACGATGAACTAGATCAACTGCTCTAATTTTTGTGAATTCCACCTAGATCTAGAACTGCCACCTAGATCTAAAACTGCCACCTAGATCTAGAAATGCCACTAGATCTAGAACTGCCATCTAGATCTAAAACTGCCACCTAGATTCTAGATCTAGAACTGCCACCTAGATCTAGAACTGTCACCTAGATCTAGAACTGCCACCTAGATCTAGAAATACCATCTCCATAAGCCGTAAAATGACGAGTGTAACTGTGTCAAAGTTCGTGACCTCTGACCTTAATATTTCTGGATACAATCAACACATCGTATCGATTTGTAATCTATCGATTTATCGATCAGTTCGATACGTGTTGTATCTAATCAAGCGATACACACTAGCAATATAAACAAAAGGTGTTTGTAGAAATACTACAAAAGTAGTGTATGTAGAAATACTACAAAAGTAGTGTATGAATGCTACAAAAGTAGCGTATGTAGAAATACTACAAAAGTAGTGTTTATAGTGATACTACAAAAGTAGTGTATGTCACAGTCACACAATGCCTACATTTAACCACATTCTACACGAATAAACACCGCTGTCTGATGTTGGAGGTTCCGGGTTTTTAAAAAAAAAAATGAAAACTTACCAGAAATGTTGTTGCTGTTGTTTTTATTCGTCTCTTTATTGTCTTACAGTGAACAAAAACAGCAAAAAAATAAATTGTAATTGTAATCCTTATGTTTGGTACAACCTACCTAGAAATAAATGGAAATAAATCAAACACAGGCAGCACTGTCAAAAATAGATCTAGCGACACAGCGAACCTACCAGGAAGATTTCAGCGAAGAAAGTTTTACAAGTTTCAGTTTCCCGTAAAGGCGTAATCCAGTTCACAATTACTAATCGGCTAAAAATAGAATCGGGTATATCCCATAGTTTACCGCGTACGTACTGACGTATCCTGTTGTACAACAGCTTGCTACCGGGAAAATCCAATAAATGTTAGCGACTAGATAAGTGGTTCTTAATCTCGATTAAACCTCAGGGGTTCGGAGTCAGTCTTAGGGGTTCGGTGAGTCAATCTCAGGGGTTCGAAGAAGGTCAAGACACACACCCGACTCACATGATTCACGGTCGGATTTTATCAGTGTGGACGATAGAACTATTAAGAAGGGTTCGGTGAATGGGCATATAAAACTGATGGGGTTCGGTACTCCATAAAGTTTTAGAACCACTGTATTAGATCTACTGAGTTCTCGAAACCTCCTGTTTGACAGGATGTGGCTGGGTTTTTTTTTCAAGATAATTTATTTAAAAGCTAAAGAGTTACAAAAAGCTGCTGAATACAATCAGTGTTTTTTTTTTCAGACTTTTTTCTCCGGGGGGCACTTGAAATTTTCGAGGGGGCGGTAGACTTTCTTCGGGGGGGGGGGGGGGCGGACACTGTTAAAAGTATATATTTTCATTTCGTTCGGGGGGGAAGTAGAATTTATTCGAGGGGGGGGGGGGGGGCGGGCTTTACCCGCCCCCCCCCCTCCCCCGAAGAGATGCCTGGAAGAAACTCTGAATACAATTTGACAGTCAACGACACATGTAATACACAATGGAATGGCCGAAGATTAATGTTTTGTTTGATTGACAAAAAATTACATCATTCAAATAATCAAATCGGTTTGAGGGGGAAGTTCAGTGGGTCTGAATTGTTGACAAACATTTTCGCTTTTTTTTTTAATTAAAAAAAATAATTGTGAAAATAATAATTTTGGTTACAGCTATTGAATGGGGTGTGGAGGGGGGGGGGGGGGCAGAGGCGTCGCGAGGCGGGGGCGGGGGGCGGACCGCACCAGGTGACACCATTTAGGGGTGGGGGTGACACCATGACGTAAACATTCAAACTATAGAGAAAACAATGCTACACCCAATGCTACCCATACGTCACAGTATGGAGTGCCCTTTTCTCAACTCGACGTATGACTGTTACTGGTGGGGGGGGGGGGGGGTAGTTTAAATTTCGTGACCTCATTACATTAATGGTAATGACCTCTTTCTAAAAGAGTTTCAGTTCTATAAAAAGATGTCAATAAAGTGCCCATGTACACACTTGTTCATGCAGTAGTCACGGTCAAGTTGTCTAACCTTTCGTCCGACTTATCACTACAAATTGCTGGTTCACACCCTAGGGTAGCTTTTGTCGTTGAGAAATTTAAGAACAGCATTAAAAACAGATCGTTGTTGTATATGTACTGGTGACTGCTTTAAAAAAAAATTTAAATAATTCTGAAAATTTAAAAACAACTTTTTTTGTTTATTAGAAAACGTTACATAAACATCACAAAATAAATTTTTAAAAATGTTACATTAGTAAACTATCGTCATCAACAGCATCACCCCAACTGTTGCCGAACAAATCAGCCGGTGGGCCTGGGGAACATTAAAAGACAGGGGGGTGGGGCCTTACCCCCGAGACATTCGCAAGTTATTGCGGTAGGTTGACGTAAGTTTGCGGACATGAAATTGATTTTAAAAAATCGCATAATACACCTCCGACAACTAAATTACACTCGACGTTGAAACTGGAAAACCTCGTTAGATATAAAATTATCTTGCTCGATTTAGACATTGTACTTTAATTAACCTTTAAACTTTAATTAGTTGATGTTTATAAAACATTTTGTTTACTGTACCTCAATCAGATTGTTACGTTTTTAAAGTTTTTTTTTGTTTTACAAGATATCATCTAGATCACATCTGAGATCACTAATACTAGTTCTTTGGGACCTTTGGGGACCTGAGACCTCTGGGGACCTGGGACCTTTGGGGACCGTGTTTGTTACGCCACTTCACCACACTATGACACTATAAACCCCACCCCTATCGTCTAGCCACCCGTACCATCATTAAACAACAATATCAACTAGTTATCGTTTGTCACAGATAAACCAATACAAATGTTACAAAAAATGTATGTACATAATTTGTTGTCATAAATGTCATGTGACATCCAGGAGAACGTAACAGTCAAAGTTGTAAGTCTTCAAAACATTACATATAAAAACAACAAAAACCAACAACCATTTGTTGTTTTATTTTGTACAAGCTACTCTATAGGAAATGGACAAATGGAAGCACGAGTTAAAAAAAGAGATTATGAAAAAAATTTTTGTCTTAAAACATAAGCTGCTAGTAAAAGAGATCAGTTCATACATGACGTGGGTTTGTTAGGGGATGTATGTGCGTACATGACGTCAGTTTGTTAGGGGATGTATGTGCGTACATGACGTCAGTTTGTTAGGGGATGTATGTGCGTACATGACGTCAGTTTGTTAGGGGATGTATGTTCGTACATGCAGCTGTATAGGTGTTCCACAAACAGGACATGACGTCAGAGCCTCGCTGCACGGACCGCAGCAGACGATATGCCCGCAGGGGACGAAAGCGGTGTTGGCCTCGCTCATCTGACAAACGCTGCAGCTGCTCTTCTTGTGTTGACCCTGCGTGACCTCAACCTTGACCTCACCGCTGGCTGCCGGCGTGACGTCATCACACGCGGCCACGGCCTGCGTGACGTCATCGACAGACGTGAAGGCCAGTCCTGTGAAGGCCAGACGTTCCTCCACCACCCGCCTCACCCTCTCCGTGGACAGCCCAAGCTTCATGGCCTCCTGCACGGCAGGGCTGTCGACGGCTGTCTGCAGGTCAGCCTCACTGTACTTGACCTGCATAAAGGTGAGGACATTATAAGATCAGCGTCGCTCTACTACACCTGCACAAACATGAGGACATTATAAGATCAACGTCGCTCTACTTGACCTGCACAAAGGTGAGGACATTATAAGATCAGCGTCGCTCTATTTCACCTACACAAACATGAGGACATTATAATATCAGCGTCGCTCTACTTGACCTGCACAAACATGAGGACATTATAAGATCAGCGTCGCTCTACTTCACCTACACAAACGTGAGGACATTATAAGATCAGCGTCGCTCTACTTGACCTGCACAAAGGTGAGGACATTATAAGATCAGCGTCGCTCTACTTCACCTACACAAACATGAGGACATTATAATATCAGCGTCACTCTACTTCACCTGCACAAACATGAGGACATTATAAGATCAGCGTTGCTCTACTCCACCTGCACAAAGGTGAGGACATTATAAGATCAGCGTCACTCTACTTCACCTGTACAAACATGAGGACATTATAATATCAGCGTCACTCTACTTCACCTGTACAAACATGAGGACATTATAAGATCAGCGTAGCTCTACTTTTGTCCAGGATTTTCTAGATTTTGGCCAAATTTAGTCCAGCTTTTGCTAGATTTTGGCCAAATTTAGTCCAGCTTTTGCCAAATTTAGTCCAGCTTTTGCTAGATTTTGGCCAAATTTAGTCCAGCTTTTGCTAGATTTTGGCCAAATTTAGTCCAGCTTTTGCTAGATTTTGGCCAAATTTAGTCCAGCTTTTGCTAGATTTTGGCCAAATTTAGTCCAGCTTTTGCTAGATTTTGGCCAAATTTAGTCCAGCTTTTGCTAGATTTTGGCCAAATTTCGACCAGATCTACACACAAAAAACAACTTGACCTTGACTAGGATCTCTGGACTGAAGTTCTGTGTGTGACCGCTGGCTGGAAACTCCACCTCCACGTCGCCATCTTCTAGAACCTTCCGGACGATTCCAACTTTGTTCAGGCACTGTGGGAATATGGTGACGTAATGTGTGGGAATGTGTGGGAATGTGGTGACGTAATGTGTGGCATACATGTGGCAAAACGCAAAAATACCACAACGTAACACAATAATACGACGCCATTCCACGATAATATCAAAATTCCACACTAATAAGACACCATACCACGGTAATACCACACCATACCACAGTAATACCACCCACACCACAGTGATACCACACCATACAACAGACCTCACTCAAAACGACTAGCTTCAGTCTTGTGAAAGTTGCGAAAACACAACTGGACACCATCATTGTACCCTCACCTTTGTCCCGTTCGTGATTTATAAAAGAATTAATTCACGTGTCCTGGGACCATTTTTCCAATACATGTTGGGTACTTACTTTAGCTGCGTCTTCGATCCACTTGAACCGTTGTTTCTGTGTCCTGATTAAAGTCTTAAGGTCGGCCCTACAGAAAGTTTTGTCCCCGGGCTTCAGATAAGGCTCGTCAACTTTACCTGGGGGTGAAGTTTGAGTTTTGAGATGGGTTATTTATGTGATCACACCAAGTGAGAACACACACCCTTTGTACGAATGAACACCCCATGTGAGAATACACACTCCATGTAAGAATTATCACACCGTGTGGGAATACACACTCCATGTAAGAATTATCACACCGTGTGGGAATACACACCCCATTCATCAGACACGTGACACATTGACCTACCTAGAACGTGCAGGTGATTCCTGTAGTAAACCCCACCGGTTGCCGGCGTGACACACTTCAAATCTTGCCGGCCTCTGTGTCCGACACGGCAGATGCTGTCATAGCCGGACTTCCACTGAACTTTGACCCCGCTCCTGTAGGACCCAGCGGCGTAGTTTCTCACCTGCACTACCTCCCCCTCCTCACCCTCCCCTGTAACGAGATGGGGTAGGGGTGAGTGGTTGTTAACATTGTTAACGAGATGTTTACACATTTTTCTCGGCGAATTCACGAGGTAAAATCTGAGATGCTATAAATAGACACTCACCATTTAGGTGTAAAATCTGAGATGCTATAAATAGACACTCACCATTGAGGTCGTGCTATAAATAGACACTCACCATTGAGGTGTAAAATCTGAGATGCTATAAATAGACACTCACCATTGAGGTCGTGCTATAGACACTCACCATTGAGGTCGTGCTATAAATAGACTCACCATTGAGGTCGTGCTATTAATAGACACTCACCATTGAGGTGTAAAATCTGAGATGCTATAAATAGACACTCACCATTGAGGTCGTGCTATAAATAGACACTCACCATTGAGGTCGTGCTATAAATAGACACCATTGAGGTCGTGCTATAAATAGACACTCACCATTGAGGTCGTGCTATAAATAGACACCATTGAGGTCGTGCTATAAATAGACACTCACCATTGAGGTCGTGCTATAAATAGACACTCACGATTGAGGTCGTGCTATAAATAGACACTCACCATTGAGGTCGTGCTATAAATAGAAACTCACCATTGAGGTCGTGCTATAAATAGACTCACCATTGAGTTCGTGCTATTAATAGACACTCACCATTGAGGTGTAAAATCTGAGATGCTATAAATAGACACTCACCATTGAGGTCGTGCTATAAATAGACTCACCATTGAGTTCGTGCTATAAATAGACTCACCATTGAGGTCGTGCTATAAATAGACACTCACCATTGAGTTCGTGCTATAAATAGACTCACCATTGAGTTCGTGCTATAAATAGACTCACCATTGAGGTCGTCCCATTTCCAGTCGACTCCCCGGGTCACGTGAGCTCCCAGAAAAATTCCTTTGGCCTCGACCTTCGTCTCCTGGCTCAGGGCGCGGGCTGGCACCAGGACCCTACACGCACACACACACACACATGCACATACACACAAACACACACACAAACACACAATCACACACACAAACACACAAACACACAATCACACACAAACAGGGAGAGAGAAAATGGTATGGACCGTTTAGCTGAATAAAATTTACTTCTCATGGCCCGTCTAGCTTACAAATGTCAACCTGTCATGGCCCGTCTAGCCGTATAAAAACGTACCTGGCCATAGATGGCCCGTCTAGCCGTATAAAAACGTACCTAGCGTTAGATGGCCCGTCTATTCTGACAAAGGCGTGGCCCAAGTCGTGTTGGCCACCCATGTAGCACTGAGTACAAAGATCGTAGTCCATGCACTCAGTGCATCTCCATCTGATGCCAAGAATGTTTTTGCCAGTTTTACATTCGTCACAGTTAAAACTGTGTCGGACACCTGGGATAAAACGTGGATAAGTTCAAACTATGTCTGACACATGGAAATGTAAAAACTGTCTGACACATGGAAATGTAAAAACTGTGTCTGACACCTTAGATAAAAACATGGGGAAAAAATGTGTCTTGACACCTGAGCTGATTGTTAAAAAAAAATTAAAGTTTAATAATGTCTTAGTTGTGTGATTGTAAAAATAAAAATAAAACTACGAAGCTAGTGTAGATGATGTTTTATTTTTACCAAATGATGTTTTATCTTTACCTGATGACGTTCTATCTTTACCTGATTATGTTTTAACTTTACTTTATGTTGTTTTATCTTATGGTGTTTCATCCTTACCTGCTGATGCTTTATCTTTACCTGATGTTGTTTTATCTTTACCTGATGTTGTTTTATCTTTACCTGATGTTGTTTTATCTTTACCTGATGTTGTTTTATCTTTACCTGATGGTGTTTTATCTTTACCTGATGGTGTTTTATCTTTACCTGATGGTGTTTTATCTTTACCTGATGGTGTTTTATCTTTAACTGATGGTGTTCTATCCTTACCTGATGGTGTTTTATCTTTACCTGATGGTGTTTTATCTTTACCTGATGGTGTTTTATCTTTACCTGATGGTGTTTTATTTTTACCTGATGGTGTTTTATCTTTACCTGATGGTGTTTTATCTTTACCTGATGGTGTTTTATCTTTACCTGCAGGTGTTTTATCTTTACCTGATGGTGTTCTATCCTTACCTGATGGTGTTTTATCTTTACCTGATGGTGTTTTATCTTTACCTGATGGTGTTTTATCTTTACCTGCAGGTGTTTTATCTTTACCTGATGGTGTTCTATCCTTACCTGATGGTGTTTTATCTTTACCTGATGGTGTTTTATCTTTACCTGATGTTGTTTTATCTTTACCTGCAGGTGCCGTGTCCAAGACACGGAGATCGTAACTTCCGCTGGCGCCGACACGACAGCTGGTCATTATCCCATTATCCCAGACCACGCGCACGGCTCTGACTGGTATACCAAACAATCCCACCTCCATCTCCTGGACGGTACCCACGTGACCTTCACCTCCGTCAAATGTGTCGTCCACAAGGTCGGGGCCCCTCACGACCCTGTACCCGATGCAGGTTTTGGCGGGAGTTTGGTTGTCGTCTGTTGGCCGCTCGTGTTGTACCTACAATGGGAAATATTTGTGCGGGGGTGGTGGGGTGGGGAGGGGGGGGGGGGTAAATAAGTGAGGCGACGGATAAACGTGACTTCAAAGGTCTGGGGCTTTAAATAACAGGGCTACATGTATGCAGTGCCGGCGCCAGGTTATTTAACGCCCTAGGCAAAACTTATTAAAACGCCCCCTTTCACACAAATTAATTACTAAAACATATGTATAAGAAAACAATTAACTGGAAGCGACATATTGATTTATTAACAATTGCATACACGTTATAAGTAGACATGAAAATCAAATTTTACTTGCCTCTTTCGTCACAAAAGTTTGTACTAATTCCTTCAATTACAGTCTACGGGTCTACTCTGTACTTTACGACAATGCCCCCCCCCCTTTTTGCCCTTCCTTTCCCCCCCCCCCCCCCCCCCCCCGCTCTCCCGGGAGAAAAAAAAGTCTGTAAAAAAAATCTGTAAAAAAGGATAGTTCTCGTAGTGTTGGACTCTCTGTAGTCCTCCCAAGGTGAGTTCCAGAACGGAACTTACCTGTTTTAAGCTTGACTGTCTTTAGTTATATTTGTAAAATGTCTGTATTGTGTGATTATGTAACGATTTTTTTTTGAAAAATAAAAGGTTATTAATGTTATAGATTTTAGCCTACAATTGTTATATATGAATCCTTTAGGAGAGGGCAAAAAAAAAATATGAAAAAGACACATAATTAATTAGATTATTAATTTGCGAGTAAGACGGTTTTAGACGCATTTGTTGCATTCATGCTGTATGTCTACTAATATTAAGTATTGCAATCTACAACAGCTACAGATGTGTTTGTTTTTCAACTAGATAATGCTAAAAAACGTACCAAACTATTTAGTTTAAATCTTCTGTTCTATATAATTATTACAATAGCAAATAATATCTTAAAGTTGTATTTATAAGTAAGCGGTCAACCTAAGGTGCAGGAATTTGAAATTAATGTAAAGTTAAGCAACGAATTATCTCCCATTTGGAAGTTCAAAAACCAAAATTTTGTTCAAGGGAAATAACTTTCACAATAGTAGCTAAATTAACCTAGTGTAACTAAGATATTCTTGAAAAAACAGAGTAAAACTATTTAAATTGCATTACGTGATAATAAGAATCAATATTTTATATTATTTATATAAGCGTGTCAAAAGAATATATTCTGCTAATCGACTAGTTAACTGTAGCTTTTTTTGAAAGTCTAAACACGCTAGCATTATTTTAACATACTTCTAGTCAGTTTTGATGACATGCAACTAAGTGTAGGGATGTTAACTTGAAATAAAGACAAATTTTGGATCCCCGAAATAAAGGGACGCCTTTCAAGAAATTCAAATACGGTTAACTGTTTAAGACGTTGCTATAATTATCGATTATGTGTAAAAACAAATATTATTTGGAAAAACAAAATTTACGGTTACTTACAAATTCCAGCCTATTTAATATTATATATTAATACTTTAATAGTGATAATTAAGATTCCTAAAAAAAAAAAAAACTAAAGATTTCAGCTAGAAAACGCCTAACTTTCTTTGTTGTGTGATCAAATAAAAAATACGACACTTTAACACCTCGATACTTTATACCTACGAAACCATTATCAGCAGCCTTCCACCGTTACTCCCAAATCTAAACGATTCATCAAAACTTACCAAACAAGTACAATATTTTTAACATCCCGTCATTACAAAACACTATACACCAGAACAGATTTCTAATTCAAAGTAAAAGAAAACGAGACTTACAAGCCCTATTTAAAACCCAAAATCGCACGTGTTTTGGAACGCCCCGTCATGCGCTGGAGCGATCACTAAATCAACATTAAATACAGATACAGTTTGAAATGTTCGAAATTTAAATTACGAACATATTTAATCGTTTTCTACATCAATTATGTGACACCAAAATAAAAAGGCAAAATGACTAGTAAAAAGCGCCCCGTCCTTACTAAATTTAGGAGGTGGGGTTTCATTTTCAACATCGCGAATAAATGTAGGCCTGTATAGACCTAATTTTGGGGTGGGGGCGCAAAATTGTTAGTTCGTCCTAGGCGCCGAAATAGATCGCTACTCCTTTGTATATTACCATCTATAGTTTATAAAAGATAATCAAAGTTATAAATCATTAGGTACTTTTTGATAATAGCGATTAAACCTTTTTGCGCCCCCCTAGGGATGGCGCCCAAGGCGACCGCCTAGTTCGCCTTTTAGGTAGCGCCGGCCTACATGTATGAGGGGCGACATATATATGGGGTTACATATATATGTGGTTACAGATATATGGGGTTACAGATATATAGGGCTACAGCCTCACCCAACAGACTTTACCTCACCCAACACGACAGACTTTACCTCACCCAACAGACTTTACCTCACCCAACATGGCAGACTTTACCTCACACAACAGATTTTACCTCACCCAACAGACTTAACCTCACCCAACACGACAGACTTTACCTCACCCAACAGACTTTACCTCACCCAACAGACTTTACCTCACCCAACAGACTTTACCTCACCCAACAGACTTTACCTCACCCAACACGACAGACTTTACCTCACCCAACAGACTTTACCTCACCCAACACGGCAGACTTTACCTCACTCAACACGACAGACTTTACCTCACCCAACAGACTTTACCTCACCCAACAGACTTTACCTCACCCAACAGACTTTACCTCACCCAACAGACTTTACCTCACCCAACACGGCAGACTTTACCTCACCCAACACGACAGACTTTACCTCACCCAACAGACTTTACCTCACCCAACAGACTTTACCTCACCCAACACGACAGACTTTACCTCACCCAACACGACAGACTTTACCTCACCCAACAGACTTTACCTCACTCAACACGACAGATTTTACCTCACCCAACAGACTTTACCTCACCCAACAGACTTTACCTCACCCAACAGACTTTACCTCACCCAACACGACAGACTTTACCTCACCCAACACGACAGACTTTACCTCACCCACCACGACAGACTTTACCTCACCCAACAGACTTTACCTCAACCACCACGACAGTCTTTACCTCACCCAACACGACAGACTTTACCTCACCCAACAGACTTTACCGCACCCAACACGGCAGACTTTACCTCACTTAACACGACAGACTTTACCTCACCCAACAGACTTTACCTCACCCAACAGACTTTACCTCACCCAACAGACTTTACCTCACCCAACAGACTTTACCTCACCCAACAGACTTAACCTCACTCAACACGACAGACTTTACCTCACCCAACACACTTTACCTCACCCAACAGACTTTACCTCACCCAACAGACTTTACCTCACCCAACACGACAGACTTTACCTCACCCAACAGACTTTACCTCACCCAACACGACAGACTTTACCTCACCCAACAGACTTTACCTCACCCAACAGACTTTACCTCACTCAACACGACAGATTTTACCTCACCCAACAGACTTTACCTCACCCAACAGATTTTACCTCACCCAACAGACTTTACCTCACTCAACACGGCAGACTTTACCTCACCCAACAGACTTTACCTCACCCAACACGGCAGACTTTACCTCACCCAACAGACTTTACCTCATCCAACAGACTTTACCTCACCCAACACGGCAGACTTTACCTCACCCAACACGGCAGACTTTACCTCACCCAACACGACAGACTTTACCTCACCCAACTTTACCTCACCCAACAGACTTTACCTCACCCAACACGACAGACTTTACCTCACCCTACAGACTTTACCTCACCCAACAGACTATACCTCACCCAACACGACAGACTTTACCTCACCAAACATGGCAGACTTTACCTCACCCAACACGGCAGACTTTACCTCACCCAACAGACTTTACCTCACCCAACAGACTTTACCTCACCCAACACGGCAGACTTTACCTCACCCAACACGGCAGACTTTACCTCACCCAACAGACTTTACCTCACCCAACAGACTTTACCTCACCCAACACGGCAGACTTTACCTCACCCATCACGGCAGACTTTACCTCACCCAACACGGCAGACTTTACCTCACCCAACACGACAGACTTTACCTCACCCAACAGACTTTACCTCACCCAACACGGCAGACTTTACCTCACCCAACAGACTATACCTCACCCAACATGACAGACTTTACCTCACCCAACATGGCAGACTTTACCTGTAGCGGCATGAATAGACCAGGGGGAGGTAACAACAGGTTCATCAAGGCCGCTCGTTCTAGGCTGCGGTGTAGGTCATCTCCCATCTCAATGTCGGGCACTCCGGCAGGTGGCACCACAGACGGGGCATCAGACTGACCTAAACATACAACACCATTAGGGGTACGACAGGTGGGGCATCAGACTGACCTAAACATACAACACCATTAGGGGTACCACAGGTGGGGCATCAGACTGACCTAAACACACAACACCATTAGGGGTACCACAGGTGGGGCATCAGACTGACCTAAACACACAACACCATTAGGGGCACCACAGGTGGGGCATCAGACTGACCTAAACACACAACACTATTAGAGGGCAGCACAGATGGGGCATCAGACTGACCTAAACGTACAACAACATTAGAGGGCAGCACATATGCGGCTGTGCTAAACAAACAACATTGTGGTACAGTCTCAGTACACGAATGGTGCGACAGTGGACACTGTGAGACTGGTCCACAGGGAGATGTACTGGTGTACTTTACAGGGAGATAACTACACTACAGGGAGATAACTACACTACAGGGAGATAACTGGTGAACAATACATGGAGATCACTGGTAAATAATACAGGGGGATAACTACAATACAGTGAGGTAACTGGTGTACATTACAGGGAGATAACTACACTACAGGGAGATAACTGGTGAACAATACATGGAGATCACTGGTAAATAATACAGGGGGATAACTACAATACAGGGAGATAACTGGTGTACATAAAGGGGGGATAACTGATGAACAGTAGAGGGAGATAGCTGGTGTACAATAGAGAGAGATAATTACAATACAGTGAAATAACTACGATACAGGGAGATAACTACTATACACAAACCTAAGACCAGGAGATGATTCTTGTAGTAGAATCCACCACTGGCATCTTTCAGACATTTCAGGTGAACTTTGCCCCCTCGACCCACCTGGTGTGCGGTCCTCTGCCCTGTGGTCCAGGTAACCATGGCAACAGATCTGCCATGGGTCAGCTCTGTCACGGTGCCTTCATCTCCCACCCCCACTGGAACATCAAGAATTACAGAATCTGTACAGACGGTTGTACATGCCTTGCTAAACCAGTACAACTGGTTTTCATGTACAGCTACATTTTGTTGTCCATTTCCAGCTGAAGTGAATGTGATCTAACAACTACATTGTGTACTTCACTTTAATGCTAAACATCAACACAGAACTCGCACGAAGTGACGTTACAAAACCTACACAACTTTCAATAGTTGTACTAAGATGACCCCAGATAACATGAGCCTAATTAACAAGATGAACGCTAAAATTGTAATCAACGACTTACCCTCTGACGGCAGCGGTGACACCCAGTCCCTCCCCCTCCCCACGGTAGCGCCCACAAAAATGCCCAGCGCCTGCCTCCTCATCACGTGACTCTCACTTCTCTCAGGGACGGCAACACTGCAATCACATGACCTTCAACTTTAGCACGTGATGTATACTATGACATAACATGATGTACACTAACATATGACATAACATGATGTACACTAACATATGACATACACAGATGTACACTGACATATGACATAACCTGATGTACACTAACATATGACATAACATGATGTACACTAACATATGACATAACATGATGTACACTAACATATGACATAACATGATGTACACTGACATATGACATAACATAATGTGTACAGTCATTTGACCATACCACGTGACCTTTGACCTTCCTGTGTAAAATCTGACCTACCCTTCACTGGCCGGGGTGTCTAGTCGACAAAACTCATGGTCAAGGTCGTGTCTATCTGCCATGTAACAGGGCGTGCACAGGTTCACATCCGGGCACTCGCTGCACCGCCATCTTATGCCCTCTATGCCCAGCTGCAGGCACTCACTGCACATCACATCGGGATGTCTCACACCTGAGACAACATCAGTGATGTTACGGTTATGTGGTTAAATAAACCATGCGACAACATCAATGATGTTACTGTTGTGTCGTTAAATGAACCATGAGACAACATCAATGATGTTATGGTTGTGTGGTTAAATAAACGATGAAAGAACATCAATGATGTTACAGTTGTGTTGTTAAATAAACCATGAGACAACATCAATGATGTTACGGTTGTGTTGTTAAATAAACCATGAGACAACATCAATGTTACAGTTGTGTTGTTAAATAAACCATGAGACAACATCAATGATGTTACGGTTGTGTGGTTAAATAAACCATGAGACAACATCAATGATGTTACGGTTGTGTGGTTAAATAAACCATGAGACAACATCAATGATGTTACGGTTGTGTGGTTAAATAAACCATGAGACATCAATGACTGAAAGGCAGAAAGGTCAGATATGATTAAATGAAATTAAAAATTTGAAATTTGAATCGCTTGTGCTAATAGGAATACAAAAACTCACCAAACACCATCAACCAACTCACCAAACACCATCAACCAACCCACCAAACACCATCAACCAACCCACCAAACACCATCAACCAACACCAACTCACCAAACACCATCAACCAACCCACCAAACACCATCAACCAACGGCCAACACCAACTCACCAAACACCATCAACTAACTCACCAAACACCATCAACCAACCCACCAAACACCATCAACCAACCCACCAAACACCATCAACCAACTCACCAAACACCATCAACCAACCCACCAAACACCATCAACCAACCCACCAAACACCATCAACCAACCCACCAAACACTATCAACCAACACCAACCCACCAAACACTATCAACCAACACCAACTCACCAAACACCATCAACCAACCCACCAAACACCATCAACCAACACCAACTCACCAAACACCATCAACCAACCCACCAAACACCATCAACCAACTCACCAAACACCATCAACCAACCCACCAAACACCATCAACCAACCCACCAAACACCATCAACCAACCCACCAAACACCATCAACCAACTCACCAAACACCATCAACCAACCCACCAAACACCATCAACCAACCCACCAAACACCATCAACCAACTCACCAAACACCATCAACCAACCCACCAAACACCATCAACCAACCCACCAAACACCATCAACCAACTCACCAAACACCATCAACAAACCCACCAAACACCATCAACCAACCCACCAAACACCATCAACCAACCCACCAAACACCATCAACCAACCCACCAAACACCATCAACCAACCCACCAAACACCATCAACCAACCCAGCAAACACCATCAACCAACCCACCAAACACCATCAACCAACCCACCAAACACCATCAACCAACCCACCAAACACCATCAACCAACTCACCAACTCACCAAACACCATCTCACCAAACACCATCAACCATCAACCAACCCACCAAACACCATCAACCAACAACCAACACCAACCCACCAAACACCATCAACCAACTCACCATCAACCACCAACCATCAACCAACCCACCAAACACCATCAACCAACCCACCAAACACCATCAACCAACCCACCAAACACCATCAACCAACCCACCAAACACCATCAACCAACCCACCAAACACCATCAACCAACCCACCAAACACCATCAACCAACCCACCAAACACCATCAACCAACCCACCAAACACCATCAACCAACCCACCAAACACCATCAACCAACAGCAACTCACCACACTGGGCATTGTCCAAGACCAGCAGATCAAACGCCCCCTGGAAACCTGCCCGCACATTTTTCACCGTCCCAGCATCCCAGACGACCGTGACACACTTGTCTGGAACTGTCGTCTGCTGACCTCCTCCAATGTCCACCACGGTCCCCACGTGACCTTCACCTCCATCAGCGTCCTCCCACCTCCAGTCTGGTCCTCTGACCACCCTCAGGCCGACCTGCATCCTCCCCTAGGTCCTAGGTTTAAATAAAAACATAAAAAATTTAAAACCATAATTTTTTACTTTCTCGTAGGCTATATACGAAGTATAGAGAAAGTATTGTAATCGTGCAAAAAAAAAATCGAGATTTTTACAAATCTCGACGTTTTACACCTCACTGATACGGAAAAACATAATTTTGCAATCTTGTCCGTATGTCTGTGTGTCTGTCTGTGTGTCTGTGTGTCTGTGTGTCTGTCCGTGTGTAAACACGATAACTTGAGTACCGTTACAGCTAGGTTGATGAAATTTCATATATGTATTTTATCAAAATCGTAGATCCGTATCAACTTTTGAGCGATTTCCGATAACCGGAAGTGGTACTTTTCCTACTTTGAATTTTTCAAAAGCCTATAACTTGAGTACTATTTCAGATAGATAAATGAAATTTCACATGTAAGTAAAAGATCTAATTCTCTACCTTCTGTTAAATTTTGAGTAATTTCCGTTGACCGGAAGTAGTAATTTACGCTATTTCCGATTTCTCAAAAAACTAATGTAAATTTTAAAAGTACTAATAATATTGCGCACTATTATGCGCTTTTTTATAAGGCGTTCACTTGGTGTGCAATTAATTTGTCTACGAGATTTTATTCTATTTTTAAAACTTTAAGTATTTAAAATGGATTAAAAATCATGTCTATAGCCCGAGTTCCCATCCCCTGTTATTTTATATAAGAATATTCGAGAAAGTTTAGGGGAGATCACTCCCGGTTTATTTTAAATTGAAGTTATTGAAAGCTTTTATTAAAAATGCCAACTTCTGAGTGGGTTTTATAATTAGCTGTAAATCATCGTATTACAGCAACACTGTCTAAAGATATTTTCCCCGTGATATTCTTCGTTTTGATGTTCTCGTCTTGGTTTGTTATAAATAAATATCCACCCAGTTGTTCTGTCCATCCATATTTGCTAACCCACACACTTGAATGGGCGTCTGATATATTCCCAAGAAGCTGGCGGAATTTGCCTTTCCTGATTGTTTGGTATATAGATGCAACAACATGGCAAACAAATTTACGAATTGAGTCCTCAAACCCCACAATTCCAATAATAATTAGAAGGCTTGGATCATACTCCAAATTTTAAAACCATAATTATCAATTTTTAAACAAATTTAAATGAACGATTAAAACTATAATGATATTGAGTTGATTTATTTTATTCCATTTCTAGCTTTACTTAACTGAGTGACGCATTATTTTTGCAGCTTTTAGACGACTCTATTAAAATATTTTTTTAAAGAATTAAAGGAATTACAGTAAATAAATTATTTTGGTGAATTTCCCCTTTTAATATAAACAAATAGTTTAACTTCCGGGCAATAATATTAAGTGAGATCTGTATGTGCCATCCACTCAGACGTTTTATATCAAGGGTTCCCTCCCTTTCTATAACTACAAACACATCGCAAACCCAGGACGTAAATATGTTACAGGACATTTGTAGGTTAGATTAGAATAGGCTAGAATAGACTAGAACGTAGGGGAGAAGTGTATGTGTGAGTTGAGTTAACCCCGGGGTGTTTAGGTATTGTTATCCCAAGGTCGAGTCGGGTATAAAAGCAGAAGTGAACGATTGTTAGGGGCCATTTCGGTAAACACCAGCGTATAGGGCAGTACCGTGTAATGTGTGAACACGAGAACAAATAAAATACTAACATCGTCCTGCACCGTGTTTTGTATTGAATAAAAGCTGGTCTCGACAAAAGACAACACAAAAACTGATTGGATGAAATGTTGAGCACATACCTGGGTTGTAGACAACAGCTAGACGTCTGTACGTCCTGTGACAAAAACAGACGCCTGTACGTCCTGTGACAACAGCTAGACGTCTGTACGTCCTGTGACAACAGCTAGACGTCTGTACGTCCTGTTACAAACACAAACTCTGGGTTATGAGTCAACAACTAGAGAACGTCTGTTACGTCCTGTACCGAACACCAAGTCATAAAACACAGCGTACCGATAAAATCACTAAAAGTTATTTTAATATTTAAACCCCGAGATTTTACCTTTAAATTTTATTCTCCTGCTTACGTAACACGCCAAAATCTCCAGAAGTCCAACCGTCAAACATTCAATACTTTCTAGACTTTTCTATCCTGTGGAGTGAGTTACTAAACTTGTAGCCTATTCAACTTTCCACGAAGTATCGGGAAAACCCATAATTATTTTTTTTAAAAGACGAAATGTTAATTTCACGTTTCAATGAAATGGCTTATATCGCTTACGTGGGTTGTATATTTCATTGTTAGGTTAAATCAATCTTGTTACTATCTATTTCAGGTGTGACGATATATATATATATATATATATATATATATATATATATATATATATATATATATATATATATATGCAAATATGCGTGCGTGTGTGTTTCGTGTGTGTGTGTGTGTGTGTGTGTGTGTCTATGGGTCTATACACGTTAAAGTTAAGAAATAAATCAAATATTAAAACCTTTAAAATAACAATCTTTCAAACTCAACTGATTACTAAATTCAATACAAACATGGGTAGATAACTAGATGAAATACTGGCCCATGACGGTGAACAGTTGGTCATGGGTGGCTGGTTTCATGTCTGGGACTAGTCAGACCCCCACCACTTGACTTACTTGACTTAGTCCTCTTTGCTCCTTATGGAGCATAGGGCCTCCACCATTTCCTTCCATTTCTTCCTATCCTCGGCTATTAATTTTGACATCTCCCAAGACATCCCTATTGGCTTCAGTTCTTCAAGAAGACTCCGCCTCCAGGTCTGTCTTGGGCGCCCTCTCTTCCGCTTTCCCTGGGGGTTCCACTCAAGCGCTTGGCGTGTAACATTTGTGTGAGCCTTTCGCAGTGTGTGACCCACCCAGCGCCACTTCCTCCTTCTTATTTGCACACATATAGGCTCCTGCCTAGCTTTCCTCCATAGTTCCAAGTTCGGCACTTTGTCCTGCCATCTCAGTTTCAGTATCTGTCTAAGGCATCTATTCATGAAGGTCTGTATCTTTGCTGTGCTTGCCTTGGAGACTCTCCATGTCTCTGCTCCATACAGCAGAACTGCCTTGACATTAGAGTTAAATATCCTAATTTTTGTGGTAATGGAGATGGCCGAACTTTTCCATATGGGTCGCAGGACTGTGAAAGCGCAGCGGGCTTTATTAACTCTAGCGCGTATGTCCTCCTCTGTGCCTCCCGTTTTGCTGATCTTGCTGCCAAGGTAGACAAACTCTTGCACATCATTTACCTGTCTTCCGTCTATTGACACTGGAGCCTCCTGTTTATTGTTAATTCTCATCATTTCCGTCTTTTCTTTGTTGATCTTCAGACCTACGCGCTGCGAGATGGCTCCCAATGCATCAACTTTTTCTTGCATGTCCTGTAGCCTGTGCGAGAGTAAGGCAAGAACCCCCACCACTAAGAAGGTGAAAAAAAAAAATCAAGTCAATTTCAAATTTGAATTTTGCCACCAACCCAAAGATGACATTGAGAAGTGCATCAACTGGCCCTTTAAATGTCACCTTCGAATGACATACATGTCACAACATGAAATACACTTGGTAGAGGCATCGGTTAAACAACAGCATCCCATAAACTCTGGGCCCATAAGGACATTGTGTTCTATGTCAGGTCGAACTGTGGTTATCTAATGTATGGCCAGGGGTCCTAAAGTTTGGGCGTGTTTACAAGCTTTCACTTTGTTCACAATGTTCGTTTGTTTGTAGGTTTGTGGAAAATCTTGTTACTCATTTTTGGACATTTTCTAATGCACTTTCCAAATATGTTCTTCTTCGCTGTCAATGCAAGGATATCTATTTTGTTTTCTAATTAGACATTAGGTTGTCATTAAAATATAATTAAATAATTACTATGAGTCGACCCGCGGCGTATCATACGCCGCTATTTAGTTGTTTTATTTTCTACTTTTCAGTAATTCATAATTTGTGAATTCGACAGTATCAATGCTGCCACTGAAAATATTTGCTTTAAAACACTATCAGTTGGTCGTTAAGGACGATACCCCCCTCCTTTCCCCCAACCCAATCCTTACCCCCCTTCCCCCGGTGAAAGCAGCCTCCTCTTAGTTACCTCCTCTAAGTTTAAAATCGTTTCAAACTAAATTATCTGCCCTTAATAGCCGTCACTAAACCCGGCTTTACAAATGTAAACATTTAGCGTTAACCACAGTTCACCAGACCATGTAGGGGTGGGGGTGGTAGGGAGCGCGCTTACAGCTTGGTGTTTTCTATAGTCTCCAAGAAGAGAATTATATATACAGATATTCAATGATACAAGGGGAGATAACAAGATTAGATACTAGCGATGGCGGAATCAGCTGAACTGTTTGCCTCGGTTGGTTGATTTTTGCAACCACAGAGATAACGGTCGTCTAGCCAGCTACTAGCCGGGTTTTGAAGCAGATATTTTTAGTCCTATCCTATGTAGATCTTGGGACTTTTTCATTTAGAACCAATTACTAAAAAGTGGAGAGAAAAACACATATACAAATCTTTATAATACCAAGCTTTTAAAAGTAAAGAACATAAGAAAATATAACAAACTTTCTTTCTTTAATAAAAGGTTTTGGTCGCAAAAATTACACTACAATACTTAAGAGATCTCGTAAGCGACCAAAGCAATATTTTTTCTCCTATTTTCAGTGCATTTAAAAGCTTGTTTTTGTAAATATTTTTAAGTGCTTTCTTAACAATATAATTTGCATGTTAAAGTGTATCGCCGGTGCATAACTGGCTCATTCTCAAGATGTGTACAAAAAGATCGTATTAATGTATATGATGTATTGTCTATATCTTGCTTGCTAAACTTAAATTAAATTGGTCTACCACTTTGCGTATACATTAGTGGGCTTTTAAAATGTGTTCGTTTCGGTTTTGGTTTGAATTCTCGGAATAGTTAACGCCCCCCTCGTATGATATACAGAAGTAAAGTAAGGTCCATACAATAGCGTCGCCAGGTCACACATCCACTTGCTGGTTATCTCATGGAGTTTAATTGTCTCAAGGCTTGAAAAGTAAGTACGTAATGCTAACAATTATATCAGCAATTTGATATATAAGTATGTATGTATATATATATATATATATATATATATATATATATATATATATATATATATATATGTGTGTGTCTGTGTGTGTATATATATACATATATACACTAGCGTATTCATTTTTTGCATGTTTATGCGTATATCCAAGCTTCAGTGGCTTAGACAATACTGAGAGAGCCACCTAATACAAAAGCTAACGTGTATAAATTATTTTGCTAAATCCCCATCGTTGACTTTTTTTTGTCCTATCTTGGAATACTAGCGTATTTTCATTAGCATTTGTTTACTTATTGTTTTTCGTTTCATTTCACACACACACACACACATATATATATATATATATATATATATATATATATATATATATATATATATATATATATATATATATATATATATATATATATATATATATATATATATATATATAGTATGGGGGCATCTTCCTCTTGAGTTGGCCCCGGGCATCTACATAGGTCTGCACGCCACTGATTAAATTTAAAAGACTACAGTAACTGTACCTTCAAAGAAAAAATTTCTCGCCCCTTCTAAATTTATCGCTAAAGGGAGGGAATAGAAATATGTCGTGTCAAATTGAATACGTTTTACGCTTTTAATTAAACATTTTTCATTGCAGCGTGTGATAAAAATGTTTGAATCTTACAATATTTCAGTAGGCTATTTGTTATTGTTTTTCTACCTAAAGGTGTCTGATGATTTCGGCCCAAAAGTAAACAATACGCCATGTACAACGCAGATCGGCGCCAGTCATGGGATACGGAGCGAACTAATCGTGACGTCATCCAGATGTTACAGTATGGAGATATCATACGTTTTACCGGGCCCTACGTCACCCACTGGGCTGTTTACGTCGGTAAACTATTATGTTTCACTGATTATATAAATATAAATATATATATATATATATATATATATATATATATATATATATATATATATATATATATATATATATATATATATATATATATATATATAGGAAATAGTGTAGTGGTACATGTTGGACGCTTTGATGAGAAATCTGAACTCGGGGAGATAATGAAAGAAACAATCACAAATGTAGTTGGAGACTACCAGATGGAAATATGTAATGACTGGGATGGAATTCACCGGTAAGTTGGCCGTACAAACAGTGATCATCTCTCAAAGCTAACTTTTTTGTCCTGGTGGTGTATTCTATTTTTTTTTCTTTCTTGTATTTTAATTATCTTTTAAGCTATAGCCTTATATATATATATATATATATATATATATATATATATATATATATATATATATATATATATATATATATATATATATATATATATATTGATCATATAATCGTTGATCCTTCTTTTATCAACTCTATTAGGGTTAGCTGGCTAGTTAATGTAAAAAAAACCGGGAGTGATCTCCCCTAAACTTTCTCGAATATTCTTATATAAAATAACAGGGGATGGGAACTCGGGCTATAGACATGATTTTTAATCCATTTTAAATACTTAAAGTTTTAAAAATAGAATAAAATCTCGTAGACAAAAGAATTGCACACAAAGTTAACGCCAAATAAAAAAGTGCATAATAGTGCGCAATATTATTAGTACTTTAAAAATTTACATTAGTTTTTTGAGAAATCGGAAATAGCGTAAATTACTACTTCCGGTCAACGGAAATTACTCAAAATTTAACAGAAGGTAGAGAATTAGATCTTTTTACTTACTTGTGAAATTTCATTTATCTATCTGAAATAGTACTCAAGTTATAGGCTTTTGAAAAATTCAAAGTAGGAAAAGTACCACTTCCGGTTATCGGAAATCGCTCAAAAGTTGATACGGATCTACGATTTTGATAAAATACTCATATATAAAATTTAATCAACCTAGCTGTAACGGTACTCAAGTTATCGTGTTTACACACAGACAGACACACAGACACATAGACATACGGACAGAATTGCAAAGTCCAGTTTTTACGACTCGATAATGCATAAAACGCCAAAACGTTTATATATTTGTATTTATAATTTTTGCCTGATTAAAATAAGTCCTCTATACTCCGGATGTGATGAAGGACTGAGGAGTAAAACGGTGAAAACTGTCAAAATTTCATGCTATTTTTGTGCACGATTACAATACTTTCTCTATACTTCGTATACACGAGAAAGTAAAAAAAGTTCCAGGTTTTCAACATTTGGTATAGTAAAATACCCTTAAGATTAATTGGTAAATATATCAAAACACTGTACAGACCCTTGAAACTTCAAAGTGGGTTGTTTTGAGCTGCCAATGTTTTTACTACTGTTGTTATCAAGTGCTAAATGATTTTCTTGTAATGACAGAGCAAGTCCAAAAGAGGACATCGTGAAAAGGGCTCTAGAAAATCTTGGTCCCACAATGGACGATGCTCAACAGTTCGTCATGTTTTGTCGCTATGGTATACAAAGTACTCACCAGGTTTGTTGATATACAGAGCAGTGGTGGTGTCACCCCTCCCCCCCGTAAGAAATATATATATATATATATATATATATATATATATATATATATATATATATATATATATATATATATATATATATATATCACTCTAATTAATCATTTAATAAAGTGAAATTATCATTTTTCTGAATATATATTGCAATTTTTTGCCTTGGTGTCACCCTTCCCTAAATGGTGTCACCCGGTGCGGTCCGCACCCCCCCCCCTCTCGCAAATTCTCTGATACAGAGTACTATCCATGTTTGTTGACAGAGTACTCACTAGCTTTGTATCCACAAGGTTTGGTTGCTGTAAAAAAAACTGTGAATTTTAGACATGAAAAAATGTGTATTTACTTAGATTATAGTTTACATGTACAGGAAATGCGAGTTAGGTCTTGAAAAATAGTAAAAATGGGGTTTTAACTGTGTCGATGTAGAAGTGTGTTTGAGACTGAGGGTCAGTAGCATAGCGAGGGAGGGGGGGCGGGGGGGGGGCGGGGGGACATATGTCCCCGGGCGCCAACCTTAGGGGGCGCCAAAATGGGTTGGAAAAATAAATTGAAAGGTCGAGGGGGGTACAAATTGAAAGTTTGAGGGGGGGGGTGCAAATCGAAATCTTGGGGGTGGGGGTGCAAATCGAAAGTTTACGGGGGTGCAAATCGAATTCTTGAGAGGAGGGGGTGCAAATCGAAAGTTTAGGGGGGTGCAAATCGAATTCTTGAGAGGAGGGGGTGCCAATCGAAAGTTTGAGGGGGGTGCAAATCAAAATCTTGAAGGGTGGTGCAAATCGAAAAGTCTGTCCCCGGTCGCCGGGAAGAGTCGCTACGCCCCTGCTGTGGGTCCAGATGTTTCTAATTCTGTGTGAACAAAAATATATTGAGATTCATTATTAACCTTTTGACCTGTATTCTGTGTGAACAAAAATATATTGAGATTCATTATTAACCTTTTGACCTGTATTCTGTGTGAACAAAAATATATTGAGATTCATTATTAACCTTTTGACCTGTATTCTGTGTGAACAAAAATATATTGAGATTCATTATTAACCTTTTGACCTGTATTCTGTGTGAACAAAAATATATTGAGATTCATTATTAACCTTTTGACCTGTATTCTGTATGAACAAAAATATATTGAGAATCATTATTAACCTTTTGACCTGTATTCTGTGTGAACAAAAATATATTGAGATTCATTATTAACCTTTTGACCTGTATTCTGTGTGAACAAAAATATATTGAGATTCATTATTAACCTTTTGACCTGTATTCTGTGTGAACAAAAATATATTGAGATTCATTATTAACCTTTTGACCTGTATTCTGTGTGAACAAAAATATATTGAGATTCATTATTAACCTTTTGACCTGTATTCTGTGTGAACAAAAATATATTGAGATTCATTATTAACCTTTTGACCTGTATTCTGTGTGAACAAAAATATATTGAGATTCATTATTAACCTTTTGACCTGTATTCTGTGTGAACAAAAATATATTGAGATTCATTATTAACCTTTTGACCTGTATTCTGTGTGAACAAAAATATATTGAGAATCATTATTAACCTTTTGACCTGTATTCTGTGTGAACAAAAATATATTGAGATTCATTATTAACCTTTTGACCTGTATTCTGTGTGAACAAAAATATATTGAGATTCATTATTAACCTTTTGACCTGTATTCTGTGTGAACAAAAATATATTGAGATTCATTATTAACCTTTTGACCTGTATTCTGAGTGAACAAAAATATATTGAGATTCATTATTAACCTTTTGGCCTGTATTCTGTGTGAACAAAAATATATTGAGATTCATTATTAACCTTTTGACCTGTATTCTGTGTGAACAAAAATATATTGAGATTCATTATTAACCTTTTGACCTGTATTCTGTGTGAACAAAAATATATTGAGATTCATTATTAACCTTTTGACCTGTATTCTGTGTGAACGAAAATATATTGAGATTCATTATTAACCTTTTGACCTGTATTCTGTGTGAACGAAAATATATTGAGATTCATTATTAACCTTTTGACCTGTATTCTGTGTGAACAAAAATATATTAAGATTCATTATTAACCTTTTGACCTGTATTCTGTGTGAACAAAAATATATTGAGATTCATTATTAACCTTTTGACCTGTATTCTGTGTGAACAAAAATATATTGAGATTCATTATTAACCTTTTGACCTGTATTCTGTGTGAACAAAAATATATTGAGATTCATTATTAACCTTTTGACCTGTATTCTGTGTGAACAAAAATATATTGAGATTCATTATTAACCTTTTGACCTGTATTCTGTGTGAACAAAAATATATTGAGATTTATTATTAACCTTTTGACCTGTATTCTGTGTGAACAAAAATATATTGAGACTCATTATTAACCTTTTGACCTGTATTCTGTGTGAACAAAAATATATTGAGATTCATTATTAACCTTTTGACCTGTATTCTGTGTGAACAAAAATATATTGAGATTCATTATTAACCTTTTGACCTGTATTCTGGGTGAACAAAAATATATTGAGATTCATTATTAACCTTTTGACCTGTATTCTGTGTGAACAAAAATATATTGAGATTCATTATTAACCTTTTGACCTGTATTCTGTGTGAACAAAAATATATTGAGACTCATTATTAACCTTTTGACCTGTATTCTGTGTGAACAAAAATATATTGAGATTCATTATTAACCTTTTGACCTGTATTTCAAAACCAACAGAGGCCGCTGACTCACTCAGAAATGTGGTATATAAAGGCATTAGGAGATAAAAACAAACAGGTCTTCTTCCAGTTGAAACCTGGAGATCTCATAAAAATAAAACGTTCGATGTTTTATCATTGGGCCGTTTATATAGGTAAGCTGCAAATGAGTCTAGATCAGGGGTCGGCAACCTTTTGAGACGGGAGAGCCAAAAGCTACAATTTACAAAATGTCCCAGTTTATAAAGAGCCACATTATTATTTCAATAATAAGGTGTTTTGGGGGTGATGGGGTGGGGCGGAGCCTGAAGGAAACTCTAAATGCGACTTTTGTCAGGATTGAGATTAGGTGCATTGTTTAGGGGTATGGATACGACTATATTTAGTATCAATGTGCGGTAACTACGTGTAGATCAAGCCTAAATTTTATTAAAATGCTGATTCTGGATAAAAATGCGTTTTCAATGTCATTTTTCGTTTCCGGTTCAATTTGAGGTTAAGGAGGTGGCTTTGGTTTTGGTTTAGAGTAAAGAGACTACACTATTAACCTAGCGCCCGTTGTATTTCTCCCTTAACGGGCCATTTATCTCGTATTTTAATATTTGTGCAAGGAGCTGGAGAGCCGAATTTTGACATCAAATGAGCCGCATGTGGCTCCCGAGCCGCAGGTTGCCGACCCCTGGTTTAAATATAGAGCACATATCACATATTAATACTTAATATATACTATACACTCATATAGGCCAATATATATATATATATATATATATATATATATATATATATATAAACAGGTGGTGGCGATGTAATACACGTTGATGGTGAAGACGCAACTGGACGCAGCGGTGGTAGCGGAACAATTTCTGGACTTTGGAGCGGATACAAGAACAGTCGAGTAAAAAAAGAGAAAATCTGGGATGTTGTCCGAAAGGATACAATGGAACTGGATAATGGAATGGATAAAGATTCTTCTAAGTAGGTCGTTGTTTTCTTTTAGACATGGATCGGATTATCTTTCAGCGAATACATTTAGAAATTCCACCACGTACAAAGATATTGAAAGGGAATACATTAGGAAAAAACATTATTTTTAGGAAATCAGAATGGCCTATCAAAAGGATGTTGTTTTAATGAATTACTTTTTGAATGAAGACCTGAAGACCGATTGTTTTTTATGACTTTGCTACTGTTTATCTGACATTCACAGACCATTGGATGGTGCTGAAGTAGTCAGACGTGCAGTAAGGAAGCTCGGCCCAATCCAGTACCATCCGGCCTTAAAGAACTGCGAACATTTCGCTAAATGGTGCCGCTATGATGCAGAGAATTGTTCACAGGTAGGCTTTTGTAACGTTTCTTAACATCGTAGGGGTCGTCCATTTTCGGACGGAGGGTGGGGAAGATCTCTCTAGACGTCCACAAGCTAAATTTAAAATCATTGAGGTCAAATCAGTTTTCAAAAAAAAAACTTTTTTTATCACGCAAACATACTATAAGTGTATAAGGCCTATGAATGTAAAGAGATCGCGGGAAATTTTTTTCGAAGAAATGCCTGGAAGAAACACTGTTAGCACCTCCCAATTGAAAATGCTCTTAATTACAAACGCAATTTGTTTCTACAGTAGCCTTTTTCCTTTTACAAAGGAGATAGGGTTAGACCTAGTATAACCAGCTACTGTTTAATACAACTAGTCAATTTTTGCTAAAAACGTGGCGAACACCTTTCAATACTGGCAATGTTTCTTTCTGTAATACTAGTCAATATTATGTTAGTTGATTTTTTTTTAATTAAATATTTAGTCATTTTAGAATTTTGTGTGTGATGTCATTTTAACCCCCCACCCACTTTCTCATCGTTACAAAAATCCGACACCTTCCTCCCTGTTGTGTTTCATGTTTGAATGTTTTGTTTGTTTCAGAGTAAACCATATATGGTTGTTGGTGCCGCCTTAGGTGGGATGTTGCTGGGAGGGCCTATGTTTGGCCTACTGAGCGGGTTGTCCGTGGCTGCTAAGATGGCTTACAATAACAACCAAGAGAAAAAACGCTCGTTTGATAACTAAATCAAAATTTTTCTCTGGGTAGAAAATGCATTTCAATTTTGTAAACGCCTTAAAGAGAGGTGCCACCATAAAGCTACCAGTATTTTAGTATTTTACCAGAAAATGGTTTTCATCTCATCTTTTAGAAATGTTTCTTTACATAGCATGAAATAAGTTTGTTGCATATAAGAATGTTGAACGCCTGTTTACTACAGGCTTACGCAGAAGGGGGGGGGTCTTTTCAGGGATGAATTCAAATAAAATTGATCACAAGTTCCAGCTACGAGATCAAATCTTGACAGGAACTACCAAATGTGGTTACAACAGTCAGCACTGTGACATAAAATCTTTTCACATTCAGTGATATTAAAATTTGTTTGACATGGATTACAAAGTTAGTTTTGTTGTATTTGTATCATTTGTGTGACATGGATTACAAAGTTAGTTTTATTGTATTTGTATCATTTGTTTGACATGAATTACAAAGTTTTGTTGTATTTGTATCATTTGTTTGACATGGATTACAAAGTTAGTTTTGTTGTATTTGTATCATTTGTTTGACATGAATTACAAAGTTTTGTTGTATTTGTATCATTTGTTTGACATGGATTACAAAGTTAGTTTTGTTGTATTTGTATCGTTTGTTTGACATGGATTACAAAGCATGTTTTGTTGTATTCATATCATTACATTTTTACATTGTATCGAAGCATGGCTATACAGCTAGTATTTATTTATATACCTCAAGAAACTACCTGTTTGTACAGTTACCTTGTTAGAATGTCAATAAGCTCACATCACAAAGCAACTTCCCATTGAAATTTATTTGAAATGCCGTTAACCTATTCCACCTGCAAGCTACCACATCGTTTTTTGTTATTATGTGGTTTTTAAATAAGAGAAATGTATGGATAAATGACAAATATTGTATAAAAATATAATAAAAACAAATGTAAAGAAATAATCAGAGTTTATGAGAGTATTTACCTAGGAAATCAGCGTACTTACAGTATATGATAAACTAGGTGTAGGGTGAAGGAGATAGGCAGAGGCGCTTCAATTACTTAACCACGGTCCATCAAATGTTTCTTTCTTTTTTTTTCATGTTCATGCCCAAGACACATGGAGCAGATGAAGTAGAGTTCATCTGTTTCAGATCAAACAGAAGGGATAGTGTGGTCGCACTATGCCTAGCCACTTTTGTTTTCCCTAACGTGAGTTAGGTACCCATCAGAGCTGGGTGAACTCAGGGACGTTCTACTAACTTGGACCAGGATTCTAACTCGAGACTAACAGGTTAGCAGTCAAGCTCTCTACAACTAGGCCACGCCATCCCATACAGTTAATCACGCAGCCACGTTTTAACTACACCATAGCCAAATGCCAAGCTATGCTAGGTGCCTTTATGTGGCAACTACACCATAGCCAAATGCCAAGCTATGCTAGGTGCCTGCATGTATCAACTACACCATAGCCAAGCTATGCTAGGTGCCTTTATGTGGCAACTACACCATAGCCAAATGCCAAGCTATGCTAAGTGCCTGCATGTAGCCACATATAAATATCGCTAGCAACATATGTTGCTAGTTAAGTTGCTGTTTTAAATTAATTAGCATTTAGAGAAAAAAATGAATAAAAATAAGTCACAAGTTATTTAATTTTTTTTCTTTTTTTGTTTTTTAACACTGTGTTCTTTAACCTGTTCTCCACTTTTTCGTTTCTTTTTTTTCTGTCCTTGAACTTGATCCTCTAACTTCTGCAGCTTCCCTGTGCTACCTGCCACAGGGTGGTCAGTGCCATTGTCCAACACACTCATGTCATAATCTGATCCCTCCTCTACATCATCATACTCTTGTTTTACTTCCCCTGGTGGCTGGTTTTCTGAGGATTCTGTCCCTTTGACTCTCACCTCTTCATCATCAGAAACATCAAAATCTTTGGCTGGTTGATAGAGAAAAAAAGTAAAGCAACATTATTCTACACAATTCAGTTGACAACTGTAATGAAAATGTTTCCTGGCATAGTATAATTCAAAGTATTCAGGTGAGAGTGAACTAGCAAGAGAGAAATCTCTTTATAACAACAAGAAGTTTGAGACAAATAGAAACATCTGGAAGCTGATGGTGAAACAGACAAGATACAAGTAATAGAAGTAGAGCATGAAAATAGTGGCTTCAGTAAGGCTAACATGTGAAGATGAAGATAGGACACCCCAACACAATGCTGTGGTAGACAGACAGAACTAGCAGCCTCAAAACCCAGAGTCTAAACAAATCAGCTGTAACTGTCCTTATATTGTAACAGTCTTTACATTGTGACTGTCTTTATATTGTAACTGTCTTTATATTGTAACTGTCTTTACATTATAACAGTCCTTATACTGTAATAGTCCTTATATTGTAACAGTCCTTACATTGTAAGGTTTTCAATTTTTAGACCTGCTACCATATGTTTTTTAGAAGACATACCAGGGTAAAGGTCGCTTAGGTCATCATGACCCTGAGCGTCCATGCCGTCCGAGCTGTCTTCAGACCAGAACTGCTCCCCCCCACTGACACTGTCGTTGTCTGACGTCACCATCTTCTTCTTCCTCCCACCACTCCTGGGAACAAATTTCTCACCTGTCTCTTGGCACTTGTGCCCTGCAACCAACAAGAAATGTTACATAAGTTCCTTACAAATTACATCCAGGTCCACTATAAAAAAAATGTTTTAATTTATTTTGGAAAGATGAAAATATGAGACTAACATCTAGCAAGCGCTCTCTTGAATTTTTTCCCATTAATATGCCTCTCTACGTCCTGGGGTGTTTTACCAATGTGGCGTAAAGTTAAAGTACAAAACAGCTCATGTCTGAAAATAAAAAGATTTTAAATGAATTTATGAAGTGTCGTAAACAATTTTAGGTTGTAGTTTCTTGTAATCTTGTAAACTCTGTGTTTTGAAGTTTATGAAGTGTCTTAAACAATTTTAGATTTTAGTTTCTTGTAATCTTGTAAACTCTGTGTTTTGAAGTTTATGAAGTGTCTTAAACAATTTTAGGTTGTAGTTTCTTGTAATCTTGTAAACTCTGTGTTTTGAAGTTTATGAAGTGTCTTAAACAATTTTAGATTTTAGTTTCTTGTAATCTTGTAAACTCTGTCTTTTGAAGTTTATGAAGTGTCTTAAACTTAAACAATATTAGGCTTTAGTTTCTTGTAATCTTGTAAACTCTATGTTTTGAAGTTTATGAAGTGTCTTAAACAACAATTTTAGCTTTTAGTTTCTTGCTACTTTGTAAACTCTGTGTTTTGAAGTTTATGAGAATGTTATCAACTTAAACCTCAAGGAACAGATTTATCTGATCTACTGTGATATCTACAAGGTCAAGTCACAACACTGGGGTCAGTGAGCCACACATTACAGGCAGATGAGCCACACACTACAGGCAGATGAGCCACACACTACAGGCAGATGAGCCACACATTACAGGCAGATGATTGTTTACTTACAAAATGAGCCACACATTACAGGCAGAAGAGCCACACACTACAGGCAGATGATTGTTTACTTACAAAATGAGCCACACATTACAGGCAGAAGAGCCACACACTACAGGCAGATGATTGTTTACTTACAAAATGAGCCACACATTACAGGCAGATGAGCCACACACTACAGGCAGATGAGCCACACACTACAGGCAGATGAGCCACACATTACAGGCAGATAATTGTTTACTTACAAGTGTTTCTTCTTGGAGCTGGGAACAATGTGTGGTTTGTGCTGGTTGTAGTCGTAGGTCTGAAGACATCTGGCTTTCTTGTATTTTTTCCCTTCAACATAGGATTTAATAGCATCTGCCTGGGCTGGCATTTCATGGTTTGTTAGCTTACACTTTACCTTGATTTTTAAAAATAAATGACTTTAACAATGTGTACACTGGCATTTCATGGTTTGTTAGCTTACACTTTACCTTGATTTTTAAAAATAAATGACTTTAACAATGACACTGGCATTTCATGGTTTGTTAGTTTACACTTTACCTTGATTTTTAAAAATAAATGACTTTAACAATGTGTACACTGGCATTTCATGGTTTGTTAGTTTACATTTTACCTTGATTTTTAAAAATAAATGACTTTAACAATGTGTACACTGGCATTTCATGGTTTGTTAGTTTACACTTTACCTTGATTTTTAAAAATAAATGACTTTAACAGTGTGTACATTGGCATTTCATGGTTTGTTAGCTTACACTTTACCTTGATTTTAAAAAATAAATGACTTTAACAGTGTGTACACTGGCATTTCATGGTTCGGTAGTTTACTCTTTACGTTGATTTTAAAAAATAAATGACTTATCCCACTTGCTGCCTCTCATTGCCATACTAATTTCCCTGTCTTATAGATTTTTACAGTCTGTATCTTATTCTTTGTAACGAGCCGGCCCGCGGCATAACATTTTTTTTCTGTTTCAAAAAAAAAATTTTTATTTATTTTGTAATTCATGGTTTCACTAGTTTAGTGAACTGAAAGTAATTTTAAGTCTGGAGTTTAAAGTTTATAGTTTATAGCCTACGAGCCGGCCCGCGGCATAACATACGCCGCTATTTAGTTGTTGTTTTTTCTACTTTTCAGTAATTCAAAATTTGTGAATTCGACAGTACCAACGCTGCCACTGAAAATATTTCTTTAAAACACTATAAGTAGCTCGTTAAGGACCATAACCCCCCCCTCCCTTCCTTCCCCCTCCCCCCCCCCCCTACGTTTAAAATCGTTGGCTCTGCTTGTAAACATTTAGAGTGAACACAGCTCACTAAAACCATGTAGGGGTGGGGAGGTAGGGAGCGCGTTTACAGCTTGTTTTCTAGTCGCGTTTGCAGCTTGTTTTCTAGCGGCTCCCAGAAGAGAATTATATATATAGATAATTGATGTGAAAAACGTTTTTTAATTGATCCATTTCATTAATTTAAAAAATAGGGCCTATCTATAAGCCATAAAAAACATTGTGGGGCGGCATGGTTGGGTTGTCTTGTTGATGAACTGTAGACAGCAGAGATGTCTTGGGAAGCTGCATAATCAACAGCCAGGACCGGACAAAATGGTAGGTTAAGGTTGAGGCCCTATGCATCACAAGGAGTATCTTTTATCTCCGTATTAACTCTCAAAATTTAAATCTAGGCCACTTCCTTATAAAAATTTATAGGCCTAGAGCCTAGTGAATACATTACATTTCATTATATATCATTAGTCAATAGTCTCATAGACATAGTAAAGTTAAGAAGACATCAACTGATCAAGTACTTAACTTTAGTATTAGTTTACTATTTTGTATAGTAGGCCTATTTTAGTAACTACTAATTACGTTGTTAGTAATAGTAGTTAATAAGTTTGTAGGTCTACTTTTGTTTTGTGATAGAATAGAACTCAAGTAATGTAATGTTTTCACCAATTGTAGTATTCTACCAAATGATGAAGTCAAGTTGCAAAATATGGTTCCCAACTTCTTTAATGATTTACAGCGATTCTAAGAGAGTTGTCTGCATAGTGTGCATCTAAGTTAGACTATAACATAACAGCTCTCTGTAAATGTGTAGTAAATATTACCCTTGACCGTGTCCCACTAACTCATTGCCCCTGGTTCCTGGCCCAATATATAAGTCTAGACTACCCAACCCTTATCTGTTTATCATTTAATTTAACAGGAGTCAAACGATCATGAATCAGTCCCTGTCCAGTCACTCAATGTTAGAGATAACGTACGGCCACTCTGACCTCTCAATAACCAACCAGATGGGTTAACCCCTTCAGGTCCCCAAAATATCTCTCAATAACCAACCAGATGGGTTAACCCCTTCAGGTCCCCAAAATATCTCCCAATAACCTACCAGATGGGCTAACCCCTTCAGGTCCCCAAAATGTCTCTTGCCTAATGATCCTGATGAGTATTACAGTTAGCAATGTCTCACTACAGTCATCTGAATCATGTCCAAATTCACCTGCGTGTCATGAACAATGATACTATTGTGTCATGAACAATGATACTATTGTGTCATGAACAATGATCCTATTGTGTCATGAACAATGATCCTATTGTGTCATGAACAATGATCCTATTGTGTCATGAACAATGATCCTATTGTGTCATGAACAATGATACTATTGTGTCATGAACAATGATCCTATTGTGTCATGAACAATGATCCTATTGTGCTGTCTTATCTCTTAGTTCTCTTGCAATCCTCATCTACAGCAAACTCACTTTACTCTTTGCAGTGTATGATATAATTATAATATAGATCTAGGCCCTAGAGCACAGGCCATACATTTTATGTTATTATTATAGCATGGCTCAGTGGTTCTTAACTATATTAAACTAATCAATAATAAAAAAAATTCACTGCAGTAGTACTTGACTTTCAACAGTACTAGATCTAGATCTAAGTGCTTCTAAATTCAGTTAAAATTCTAAGTGCAGCCTAAAAATTAAAAACTAAAATTTAAGGCCTACTAGATCTAGATTCTAGATCTAAACCTAGATTCTACAATCTTCACTTCCAGCTTTGGCCAGAAGATAAATCTATCTTATAATCAAATATAATCTAGATCTAGTGATTTTTTTTTGGCTCCACTCGCTAGTGATACTGAATGGAGAATGTTTTGGTTAAGTTAAGGCACAGAACTGTGCATGTGTGTGATATGTGGCTTGATCCCTTGAAAGGAGAATGTTTATAATTATTAATTATATTATTGTTTTGAGTGAATATTTAATTTTAAGTTTAATGTAGGCGTAGGCCTAACTAAAAAAATATTATCACTGTCACTGTCAAAGATTCAAAGTTAGATCTAGATCTAGATTTAGATCTAGACTAGATCTAAGTCTAACTTTGTAGTAAAGAACTAGACTAGATCTACTAGATTACTAGATCTAGAATCTCTAGATCTACTTCATCTAGATCTAGATTCTAGATCTAGACTAGATCTAGATTCGGTAATCCCTTAGTTTAGCGTCGGAAATTATCGGGTAATGTTTGTTGAGTCTCGGTAACTAGAGTTACGGTAAACCATGGTTTATTTGACCATTGAAATATAAATAAATTGAAAGTCGATTGTAGTAAATTAATGTTTTAATTTTTTAAGTTTAATCGACAAAAGGAAACAAGAATAAATATAATATTAGATTTAAATTAGTAGATCTAAAAATAAAAAAAACATATATTAATATAAATATAAATAATGAAGTCAAATGTAGGCTAATAATTATTAATTTAATGTTTTTTGCTTGCAGCGGATTTGCTACCATTAATTAATTAGATCTAGATCTAGCTAGATATCTAGCTGCTAGGCCAAGTAAAAAAATCTAGATTACGAAAATAGTAAAAATGATTACAAAATGTAAAAATGATTACAAAAATAAACCTAGATCTATCTAAATTTTAAACATTCTGTATAAAAATAAAAGATGACACCAAATAAAGTATGGTTTACAGTACTTCCGGTGAATTCCGGAAGTGTGTGACAGACTTTGGCATTGTTTTACTGTTTTTTACTGCTATACGATTCCGGAATAATAACCGACGCTAAACTAAGGGATTACCCTAGATTCTAGTCTAGAATCTAGATTTTCTAGAATCTAGATCTAGACTCAATCTAGAGTCTAGACTAGTCTAGAGTAATCTACTAAATCTAGAGACTATTCTAGACTAGAACTAATTCTAAGTTACCTTATTTTTCTCTTCGATGTATTCTAGAGAAGAATGCGATTTCAAAAACTTTTTTATCTCTTTAGAAGCCATAATGTTAAAAAAATAACATTAATAAATAAATAATCCAGACACTAAATTAACAGTGAAATAATTCTTGACTCGATAACTAAACCATGTGTTTTGATGCGTGTATTTTGTTTTGAAATTTCCATTTCCGTATCCGCTTTCCATGACAACGTAAAAAGCAATATGGAAGACCAAGTATTTGAAACTGTATAGATCTAGATCTGGATCTAGACTAGTAAGTAGTGTAGCCTTTAAAAAAATTGCAACTTAAATATATCTAGATCTAAATCTAGGTTGGTTAAATCTAAATCTAGAGTCTAGATCTAAATCTTAGAGAAGATCCAACGTATTTCTAAATTTTGCAAATTATTTAGATCTATACTCTATAGTATAGTATTCTATAGTTAGGGCTAGGCCAATAGCAGGCTAATAAATATAGCCAACAACGTTACAACGTATGTAGCCCAAAAATATTAATAATACCTAATGCTTAATACCTAGTGATTAGATAGTTAGATAGTTAGTTAGTAGATGGAATTAATTTAATACTAGTAATCTAGTATAGACCCGAGCGAGAAAAGTCTCAAAGGTATATGAGAGGCCCATTAAATAATAAATATTTTGAAAATCATGCATGCCATGCAGCATGGCCTAGTTAAAAATCCTGTCTTGGGGTTTTTGGACTTTAATAAATTTGATGTTTTGGTAATCTATTGTTTTAGGTGCATACAATTGGCAGAGGCTAGTAATATGCGATAAAATTGCCTCTTTGTTGAGGCTTTAAATAGAAGTATATTGATTGTAGGTAATCTATCGTTTTGGGTACGTAAAATCGCCCGCGGCTATTAATGTACGAAAACGTTACCTCATTGTCAAGGCTTTAAGGGGCCTCTACATGTAAAAAATGCTAATTTAACTTGGAAAAAAATATTTTTAGGAAATTAATGTTTTAATAAATTTCATATTCCTAGAATCGAAAACAGTTTGAAGTATACTTGTACGATACATTTTTCTATTTTAATTATAATTTTAAAGACACCACCCTCTGCTTAAAAAATCAACTTTTTAATCAAATATCTGAAATTTTGAGTTGATTTTTATAAAGCAACTATAAAGAAAAATATAGTATATTATATATCATTTTTTTCGTCTGTTTGAGCCGTAAACGATACTCTACATTCGAATACAGTTATTTTACTTGCAAATGTGATATTTCAATAAAAGATTTCGCAAATCAAGCAATTTCATTGGTCCGATTTGTATTCTCAAGCCGTACCTTAGTAATGACCTTTCTGCGCATGCGCAGTGATCGAGTTCGACGGATTTTTGTCAACAAACAAACATGGCTACGTGATTGTCTTCACATCAATTTTTGCAATAACAAACCATTTGTTTTCAACATGGCGTGTAAATAATGCAGTTATTGCTCGAAATAACAGATACCATGACAGGAGTACATTGTTCAGCGAAAGAAATTTGAAGGTAATTTTTTTTTAATAACTAGACGCTAAATCTAGATCTAGTGAAGTCGCCATGCCACCACACAGCGATATCTCACTGACTTCACTGACTGACGCGCTGACATTAGTTTCTAAATCTACTAATATGTTGTCTAGTACAGCTTAATTCCTTTATAAGAATTAATTTAGTTAACTCTTTACCAATGTTAAACACGCTTGTCAATTACTATTTTTAAATAAATGAAACTGTAGAACCCAGTCATAACGACCCACGAATCTAGTAGACCTAGAATTCTAGATCTAGAATTTTCTAGATCTAGTCTAGAATAGTCTAGATCTAGATTCTAGTTGATAGTAGTTGTATATTTAGAAATTAACATCTGTGTTTGCTGAGTATTGACTAAAATATAAATATTGGTTAAATTTTAGTATAAGCAGTTTTCTAAATTTATGGTTAGATTTATTCCTTGTGTTTTGATCTATGGTCAGTATAATAATATAAGCCCTATTGACTATTCATTATGATTAGTTTTTCAAAATACAATTTTGTTGACTATGACATTATTAGGTTGTTACAATAGGATGAGTTACTGCTAATATTAGTCATTCTAGTTATGTATATTATTAACTTTTTAAAATTAAATAAAAGTTGTTCTTTTATTTTTATTTTACAGTCCAACAATTCCTACAATGAATGCCAAAAAAGCTGGATGTGTTGAACCCAAATCAGTTTTGACTGCAAACAAGAATCAAGAAATATAACTGTCCCTTACATTATTTGCTTGCTGACATCTACATATCCAGAAGATATGCCACAATTAGGACTGTGCAAGCATTGTGGAAAAAACTTTGGGCTTTCCGCAAGGAAATTTGATGTCGTGAAATGTAAATTTGACCTCATGGTTTACAAGAAGCTCACTTTAGATACACCTACATCATAATGTCAATATTAGAGCCATGTTATCTATAAAGACAGTGGTGTTAGTTTCTCAAAATTCAGATGTTTACTTGGTGAATGGATTTGAAAAAAAACCAATGAATCTCTCATCATTTTACATACTGTTGCGCAAAGTTTTGCTGCGATACTACTAAGTAAGTACACTAAAGCTGCTTATGTTTTTATTAGCAAGATAAATGCTGTTTGTACTAGAACTTAAGAGCAATACAGCAGCAAAGTGCCCATCTACTATAAATAACTTATGATGTCAAGTTATTGAGCTCACCCTCTTCAAGCAGAATTGTGAATGTCGTCATAAGCTAAAGTTGTATGTGAATATTATTAGTACATTATTTGTCAAATTTGTATTAAACTATAGTTCAAATATGCTAAAATGTACTATATCAAGCTTGTGTTAGTCTGGGAAAAAGACAATAGCAACTACACATGTCAATAGTTGATCAGAAAGGTTTAACTTTTAGTGCAAGTAAACTGCGGAATTGTGCAAACTAAACCACTATAAGATTATAAGTGGTAAAACTTCAGAAGAATGTGCAAACTATAGTTGGCAATGGTTTATTTTTCAACTGCTTATGTTGAACTTTGAATACTAAAAGTTTCTTCCTGATATTGCTGATAGATTTTTTTTTATGGCAATTTAAATGTTTAAAAGTTAATTTTCTCAAAACTTGTTTTTTCAAGATTTTTGCTTATTGTAACTCTAATGTTTTAGCTGTTTGCAGAGATAATGTCTTGAAACTTGGTGTACTTTTTCATTATTCATTTTATGGTGTAACTATGCATGTGAGAATGATGTGCATTGTGTACATTTTTATTTTTAAGAAATTTCATAACTTGTATGCCTTGTTTTGAATGATACATTTTTTATAAAAATTGAAAAAAATGTTTCTTTTACATTTTAATGAAAACAAACTGCTACTGTACACTCTAGAATGGTTCTAGTTAAATAAACAGAAATAAAACCATCATTATTTGTTCACATTATTGAAACATTAGATTTGTAAAAAAGGTGTTTTTTTCAAGATGGCCGCCGTTACCATGGCAACCATGCATAATTAGGTCCTGAGAATGTGGAATTTTTATTTACAGTTGCTAACTATTAATAATAGTATATTGTTACTTGCTTATCTCTGCTGTGGGCTAGTTTGGTTTACAGGGTGTAGTGGCCCCTTAATAGAGGTGTATTGTGATATGTTTGTGTCAAATATTATAGATAAATGGATAATAAACCTAAATCAATGGCTAAATATATCAATATATTGTCATTATTGAATATAGGCCAGAAATTAACTTTAAACAGCAGTGTCTGCGAGCAAGATTTGCTAGATATAAACAGCAGCCATGTGTAAAATAAAGTGGCTTCCCCCTGAATCTTATAAAAATAAAACTTAAGCAAGATGGCTGCTATAGTAAATGAGCATGGTTGCATCTTTTGGAAACATAGCTAGTCTTCATTTATTACGGAAAAGTTTTAATTCAATTGTTTAAAAACAGATACATAAATGAAACAAGGAAACATTTTTGTATTTTAAAAAACATAAATCCTCCTCAAAATGTGAAATAATTATTAAAATTTAAGGAGTCACCTGTTTTTCACATTACAAGTCGCGGGCGATTTTACGTACCTAAAACGATAGATTACCTGATTGTAATATATTTTTGTCATTTATTAAAGATAACTGAATAATAAACCAAAATCAATGGCTAAATTTATCAATACTGACGAATTTAATTTTAAACAGCAGTGTTTGCAAGCAAGATTTGCAAACATCTGTAAGTTAGAGTGGTTTCCCCTGAATATCTAACTATAATTTACCAAAAAAAAACTTAAACAAGATGGCTGCTAAAGTAAATGAGCTTGGTTGCATCTGATGAAAACATCTGTAGTCTTTATTTTTTTTTACTGCAAAGGTTTTATACAAATACTTAAAAACAGGTACATTAATAAAACTTTTAAAGAATTTTGTAATTTTGAAAACATAAATCCTCCTAAAAATGAAATAATTACAAAAAAAAAACCATTTTACTTTTTGCTTGTAATGGCGATATAAACAATGGCATCCTGCTATTTGATAGACTAGCATAAATTTTATTGTAAACAAAAAATGGCAGAACTAGACAGTGGAGTAGCGAGGTCGGTGTCACCCTGTGCGGCACTTAATGGTGTCACCCCTCAGAGGCGTAGCGACCCTTTCTCTATATATTTTGCTATTTTTTGCCTTGGTGTCACCCCCATAAATGGTGTCACATGGTGCGGTCCGCACCCCCCCCCCCCACTACGCCACTGGAACTAGATCATATGGTTTAAAGTTGCATTGTTATTTAACATTTCTAGATCTAAATCTAGGTTGGTTAAATCTAAATCTTAGAGAAGACCCAACATATTTCTAAATTTTGCAAATTATTTAGATCTAGGCCAATTTTTAAAAACGCTTGGCGTGTCACATTTAGGTGAGCCTTTTGCAGCGTGTTAGGCTAGATTAGTATTACTTTTATCATGCCTAGTTTAGCCTATAGGCTTACTATGTAGAACAAGACTATACACTAAAACTTACTATATAGCTATAGTCATTTAAAATAGGACTAATAAACTGTATTTTTTAATTTTAGGTAACTAAAGAAAAGTGTTAACTGCTCACATCTGCTCTTATACATTATATAAGGGGGGGGGGGGCTTACATTAACGACACCATGCTTTTTTACCTCCCACTCGCCCATCATCAGACATGTCTACAAATAGTTAATCCCTCCACCCCACCAAAATTGACATAATACTCACTACACCTCAGCAGTTTGTTAAACAGCTGTTTCTTTTTATTAACTGAACTGGGTCACTACTAGGTTTATTGATAAATTTTTACCACAATTTGTAAATTTCTTTTTAAATTACAAATATTTGATATCCTTTCACAGAACCCATTCCCCTGAGAGTGTGATGTTAAATTACCATTCCCCAGTCTGATGTTAACTTATAGATGACCCCCAAATCATTTTGATTTTCATCAGAAAATATAATATTTAATAATTAAATATTGTAATATAAATTACTTTATTTAATAGAAGACTGTTTGACACTTTTGTATTATACTTCAGTCCCAGGTTAACATAAAGTAAGTTCAGCTACGGAGAAAACATAAAGTAAGTTCAGCTACAGAGAAAAATGATGAATTCTGATGGTTGTTTGCAAGTGTCTGTCCCAAGTCCTACCTTTGTCTCCCAGCACAATGAAGACAGGATTTTGGTTTTGAGCGAACAAACCAAAAATGGTGAGTAAAAATTTTTGAACATCCATTTATTATTTTTGTAATTTATGTGCTGATTAAAAAAAAATTTCAAGCAAAATCAGACTTTGTTCTGTAAGTTGTTCTAATAACTTATATTACAAAAATAAATGTTCCAGGAATTCTGCCAGAACTTCGATCCAGTGCCAGTATTGACAAGAGGAAGCCACTACCAACGTCCTTACAAAGTGATTTTATACCAGAGGACATACTGTTTGCCTTGACACAACCCCCACCCAGCAAAAACAAACTTGGCCCTGTGACGTTAACCAGAAACCTGAACACATCTAATGTATACACAATGCTTATATCATTTTTTTTTTCATTTTAATTTTTAACCTATGATAAAGTTATCTTTTTACTTCTCAGTATTTAATAACTTATTTTTATCCACAAAACTCATGCATAATAAGTATAGATGAGGGTTCACTTACAGGTTTCTAGTATGTAAATATAACCCTGGTCATATTTTAGGGATTGTCTAGACCCCCGCCAGCTAATGTTTGGAATCACAAACGGAAAGAAAGACTCAAACATCTGGTGGAGAACACACCCTGTGCCTGTGGTGCAGGAAAGTAAGCAGCCTATAAATAACTTTTTGTTCAGTCTTTCAAAAGTTAATGAAGAAAAGTCAGTTAGCTGAAATTTTTATTTTTCTACACTTAAAAAATTTGTTGCACTTATTTAAAAATCAAAGTCAAGCTAAAAATGTAGCTTTATAGAGTATCAAAGTCAAGCTAAAAATGTAGCATTGTCAAAGTGTTTGTTAGACACACATTATTTTTCTATAGAGTAACAAAAAAATTGTCACTGTGAGAAATTGTCAAATGTGTGTTCAAAATTATTTTTAGAGACATCTCATTTTTGTATGATGTGCCACAGCCAAAACCCCACCCAACCCCACCAGACCGTATTGATAAGAGCGCAGTTAGAAAAGTAGATGACCCAGCTGCTAGCAAGGTAAAATTCATTAGTTGATAACTACAGCTTTGATATGATGTAGGTAATTTTATAGGCAGTATGAAATGACAAGAAAATATTTATCAAAACTGCCCGTTTTAAGTTTTTTAGATATGAAATATTCCAAAAATAAATTATGACAAAAATTGAATTGATTAATGTAAAATGGTAAAATTTGTTTTATAAAATCTATTTTAAACTTTTTCATCAACAGCCTCTTCATCTTCCCGACACACTTATACCGGATGAATACCACATTGTGAAAAATAAAGGTGTCATTGGCTTACAGTATCATGAAGAGTTAGTAGCCTTGATTCCCTCTTAGTGACATCAATGACTTCATTTCTCAACTGAGTTCCTGTTCTTGATGCTTTACCAATTGAATATTTTAGCATTTAAAAGTTTAATTAATCTTTTTATGGTTTTTAAAGACTACATAGATCGTAACATGGAATTTTTGTTTTGTTTTAAATCACAGTATATACAGCACAAAGCCAGAAGACCATGAGAAACATTTGGTAGTTTTCCCATCACTGTAAGTAGCTTTAGATAGATTGTTTTTGTTTTTTTAAATCTTACCCACAGGATCTGTTGTTTGGGAGGGGTTAGCCATGAACGTAGATCTCATCTTGACCAATGGCTGTCCATGCATGGTTTTGTTTTCATCATATAGGCCAACAGGGTTTTAACTTTTATTTTGGTAAATTAAAATTTAATGAATTTTTTAAAGCATGAGCAATCAAATAGTAAATTCTTGAGCCGTTAGCTAAGCTGTGTATTGTATCTGTTGGCACAGGAAACCTGCCAGTAGATTTGAGGTGATGCAGCTAAAGGCAGCTCTCAACAACATGCTGGACAAAATTGGAGCTAATGATTTGGAAACAGGAAGTGGTCCAACACAGGTGAGATAATTACATAGGAAGTGGCCCTACACAGGTGTGTTGCTTACATAGGAAGTGGCCAAACACAGGTGTGTTGCTTACATAGGAAGTGGCCAAACACAGGTGTGTTGCTTACATAGGAAGTGGCCCTACACAGGTGTGTTGCTTACATAGGAAGTGGTCATATACAGGTGTGTTGCTTACATAGGAAGTGGTCAAACAGGTGTGTTGCTTACATATGAAGTGGCCCTACACAGGTGTGTTGCTTACATATGAAGTGGCCCTACACAGGTGTGTTGCTTACATAGGAAGTGGTCATATACAGGTGTGTTGCTTACATAGGAAGTGGTCAAACAGGTGTGTTGCTTACATATGAAGTGGCCCTACACAGGTGTGTTGCTTACATATGAAGTGGCCCTACACAGGTGTGTTGCTTACATAGGAAGTGGCCAAACACAGGTGTGTTGCCTACATGTTCATGAATTGTCATTATGGGAGCTTAAAGAAACCAGTATCTTAATGACTTGTTTGAATAGGAGCTTAAAAAAACAGTATCTTAATGACTTGTTAGAAGCTCATATTCACCCATATCTTAATGATTTCTTAGAATTAGATGAGCTTAAAGAAACCAATTATAGAAAATAAATGATGATGTACATAAAAGTGTATTGTAATTGTAGCCTTATGAGACTAATTTATATTACTCTTTCATCTTCAACATTCAAAAACAGATTGTAATAAATCGTAAAATTCTGAACATTTAATCAATATAAACATGTAATCACTTATTTTTGAGTTGTAATAGAGGTATTTTGTTCACTTGTTGCAAAATTCCAAAACTGCTAGATCATATCAAATGTAAATTTGTGTCATTTGCAGATGCATAACTTGTTAGAGCTGATCAAAAAAGAACAAAATATTTATAATGTTGTGTTCCATGAGCTTATTCGCCAGGTAAGTCAAACATTAAGAAAACAATGGGAGAAAAATATTTCGTACATTTTAAAAAATATCTTTATCATAATAAGTGAAACTAAAGCTGTTATTTAGGTACAGTATTAGACATGTTTCAAACTGTTGTAATTTAAGTACTGTAACAGAAGTGCTGTTCTAATCACAGATTAATAAAAGTTTTTTAAAAAGTGTAATGTTTAAGTAGATAATAACAGAAATGCTGTTTAAATGACAGACAACTGTTGAGTGTGTGGAGAGGGGCGAGCTGCTTGCAGATTTAAGGAACAGATACAGTGACCTGCTCAACAAAATACCCCAGCAAATTATGAGGTCAGAGTTTTAAACATGTTTGATAGCTTTATACAAATTATGAGGTCAGAATTATAAATGTGTTTGATAGCTTTATACTCTGGAACTATGTAATGTACCTTTGTCAGTGTTAAAAGAACACTTGATGTGATATTGCTATAGCCTGTAAGCATTATCTTTTGTTCTCTAGTCTCCACGAGGAAGTGATGGCACAGAGGGCTCTAGACAGGAGACTTACAGAAGAGCTCATGAGGTTTAAGGGGACCATCGCATACCTCACCAGGTACCTCACTTTTTTTAGTCACTGATCTCTAGGATAAATTATGTTGCTTAAACTTACTATTTTATTTGAGTACCATTTTTTTCCTTGTTCAGAAAGAAGTCTTTCGTCTCTTCTGCATAAAGTTAAAATTTAGTTAAATGTTATTAGCGTAATTTATCATCATTCAATTGTGTGTTACTCTCTTCAGTGAACTGACAGATGTGAAGGAGCATGACATGACAGTCACTAATGAGGCACAAAAAGCACAAGAAGATGTATGTAGATCTAGTTATGTTGTTAACATAGTGCTATTATTATTTTAATTACTAATGACAAAATAGCAACTTAAATGCAATTTAAAGGGTTGACATTTGTTGTTACTGTAAAATATGATTGTAACAAAAATGGACTAAAATGAATTTTTTAAAGTATTTATGTTCTGGTTACATTTATTTTATATTTTACCCCCAACAAAAACTCCATTTTCTAGCTACGGAGTGCCTTGGCAGAATCCCAGAAAAATGCCAGTCTTCTGGCTGAGTATCATGAACTGTACGAGCTTCAACGCCAGAGACTGGAGAGGCAGGTCTTCATGCTGTCAGAGGAAAAGGAAATCTGGAGCACAGCAGCTTATAGTCTGGCACTCAAGGTGAGTACACACAGATATGTGGCACACAGCACACAATTCACTTAAGGTGAGTACAAACAGAGATGTAGCACTCAATTATATGGGTGAGTACACATACACATAGACATGTAGCACACAATTATAACAATATTAAGGTGAGGACACACAGAGATGACACACAATTATACATTTTAAAACTTTTTACCTTTTGATAAAAGTATGTTGTAATGCAGTGGTAAAGTTAAAGCCTGGAGAATTATCTGTTAAAATACATAAACATGATAAAGGCATTGAGTTTTTACTTAAAATTTTTATTCCAAAGTATCTTCATCTCTATTAGCCATATGAAATTATTGCTGGTATTTATTCATTATTTGAATGCACCTCTCACCAGCTAACTGAAGAATATCAACTGAGCACGGCCAAACGTCTGCAACTGAGTGAGAAAGGTTGGGTCAAAATGGCCAACCACTTCACCATTTTGTTGAGCGACCGGGACACGGACATGCTGACTAAAATTCAGGTGTTTTTAATTTGTTTCAGCTTTTACATACATTCAAATTACTAACTCATTTAGCTCAAATAGCCAAATCATTTAGCTCAAATAACCAACTCATTTAGCTCAAATAACCAACTCATTTAGCTTAAATAACCAACTCATTTAGCTCAAATAACCAACTCATTTAGCTCAGTGTATCAAGAGAATGCAGTTATTGTGACTAGGCTGATAGCTTGAATATTTTAACAATGTTTGTCGCAGGGGTTTGTGGAGAACTGGAGGGACATGATAGAGGACTTCAACATTACACTCAAACACAGGGAGGACAGTATGAAGGAGAGCTTCAAAAAGATTAAAATTGGGATTGAAAATTGCGGCAAGACCTTTCAGCAAAAATTTATGTAATAATTGCTTCAACTCTAGATTCAATAGTTAAGAAGACCCACTGATTAAAACATTAGATAATTCAAAGATTTAATGTAAAAAAGCAGACATCACTATTTTTTACTTGTCTTAACATCTATTTTTTTTATATTTTTTCTCTTGTTTATCAAGTAACTAAAAATTTTAAATTGCTAAATAATTGAAAAGAAATAGTTGTATAAAGTTTATTGCTACTTACTATGTTGCGCTTAACATTATATTTAAAATGTGATTAATTTATGTTTATATTGATTATGTTTAAATAAACAAAAAGATATCAATACATTAGAAATTTCAATTTTTTTAGTTCAGTAAAAATCCCTTTTACATAAATTAATTTGCATTTTATTTTTACGTTGAAATATTAGATGTAAATATTTCTGTTTCCTGTTTTGGTTTAAAAGTGATTTAGAAAATGGAGTTGTTAAGAAACCTGATGAGGAGTATGTGCATTCTTTGGTTGGGATTGTTAAAAAGTGGGATGATGTAAGTTTGAAATTGTCAATCTATAATGTTTCTTTCTATTTCTTAAAATTCAGAAATTTGAGAAAGTATTTATAAATCTTATATAATAAACCCTCTTAAAATTTCTCTAAAACTGTGCATAAAAATGTATTTATTTTAAATCAAACCCCAAGAAATTGTGTACTGTAAACAATTAAAGGCCATATCCTTAAAATTGCATTTTGGAATTGGAACAAAACATATAAATTTTATTTGCATTTAAATTGAATATGTAAAATTAGAAGTTAATTTTATTTTAGTTGGTCAAATGATTAAATTCTTTTTTTTTTCTAAGCTAATTATCAAAGAAACTGAAATGTATGGGGGAGATAACCTACTCAACACGCAAGATGAGTTGTCTAGAATACAAAGAGAAATGGAAGGTTGGACAGATTGTGCCCTTAAAGTATTTCGTCGTCATCGCAGGAATGATGGGAAGACTCATCCAGATCAGGAAAATATGATCGCTTTAAATGAGGTAGGCTTGTGTGTTAGTTTGATTTTTATTTCATCTAGATCAGGAAAATATGATAGCTTTAAATGAGGTAGGCATAGGTGTTAGTTTGATTTTTATTTCATCTAGATCAGGAAAATATGATAGCTTTAAATGAGGTAGGCATGGGTGTTAGTTTGATTTTATTTCATCTAGATCAGGAAAATATGAGGTAGGTGTAAACTTTACTGGACTATCATTAGGGAAGAGGGCAACATTATACTTATTCCATGCACACCAATAAGACACATTAATGATAGACAGTTCTACCCAATACTTTAGACAAATTAATGATGGACAGTTCTACCCAATACTTTAGACTCATTAATGATGGACAGTTCTACCCCATACTTTAGACAAATTAATGATAGGCAGTTCTACCCAATTCTTTAGACACATTAATGATGGACAGTTCTATCCAATACTTTAAACTTATTAATAATGGATAATTCTACCTAATACTTTAATTATTATACAGATATAACTTGACTAATACTCAACTACCTCAAACAAAGTCTTGTCTACACTCTCAATACACACATTCTATCAAACAAAGCTCCCTCTTGCCACTATTCTATGCTCCAACTGTCTTAAGACTTGTCTAATACATCATTCTTTACTTGCCAATATTCTATTCACCAACTTTCTCAACAAAATTTCTAGTGAGCATATAATTTTTTTGTAGGAAGTTGAACAGTTGCTTTCACAGTTCAAACATAGGATCACTGGAGAGAATGGTAAATTTCATTCTGTTGTTTCATATTCTTTGTATGTTGGCTTTTTCACAGAAATGGTAAATTTTATTCTTTAATTTCACATTCTTTGTCGGTTGGCTGTATCAAAAAATCCTGAATGTTGTCCTGTTTTATTCTTTTTTCACAACACTATTATTTCACAAATCTCACAGTTTTAAAAAAATGTGTTGTTGCACTGACACCTTTTAAAAAAAAATTAGAACACAATATTAAATTGTCTGTAAAATAAATTATGTCCACTATTGTATTTCTCACCACTAACATTTTACAAGTTTCAAGTTTTTGTTGGAAAGCAAATGTCAACTAATACTTTTAATGAGTAAAGTCAAGCCAGTTTTACAAAAGTGAATTGTTTGTAACAATTTGTCACCTAATGGAAACTAAAGCTCATGCTTAGTGCATAGAACAGAATTTTTTCTTGCCGTTAACCAATTAAAAAAATTTCAGGTGTGGCAGCTTTAACAATCCAGTTCCAGAGTTCTTTAGAAATTTGGGAGGCTCGTCTGGTCTCCAATTCTCACGGAGTTCTGGCACTGCAGGAGTCAGACTGGGGCAACTTCTACCAGGCTCTAGAGGACTGGGCTGCCCTCCTAAAGCAGGCCATAGACCTTGTTGGCACTACACAGAGAGATGAGGACAGGCGCGACGATAAGCCACACACCAGGTACAATACAATATTTAACTATAGCACACACACACACCAGGTACAATACAATATTTAACTATAGCACACACACACACACCAGGTACAATACAATATTTAACTATAGCACACACACACACACCAGGTACAATACAATATTTAACTAAATCACACACACACACACACACACCAGGTACAATACAATATTTAACCAAAGCACACACACACACACACACACTAGGTACAATACAATATTTAACTAAAGCATATAAGTTAAGTAGAGCTACGATAAAATATTTAAATCAGAAAAACTAAACAAAAATACAATTAGAAGTATTTTTAAAAGCTTTTTTCTTTATGATAGATTTTTTAAAACTAAATTAAGTTGATCTTAGTTCATCAGCCAAGCTGTGTGGCTAATTGCCTCCATTTTTGTTTCATCTTTCACAATTATCATCAGATAACACCCTCTTGCTGCTCTTGTGTGTTGTGCTTGAATTTATATCATGCCAAAACATATTGTTTTACAAAAACCAAATCTTTTCTTAGCTATATTTTTAAAACTATATGTATGTTAAGTATGTGTTTATAAACTAAAAGATATGTGTATATTTTAAACAGCATGACATATTTGCAAGCTTATTATAGTAGTTTATTTTTTTTTCAAAATATTTAATCTTTTATGAAAAAAAATATTAATTAAAATAAATAGCTAATACAATGGGTAAAAGAAACCTCAAAAATACTCCATCAGGGGCGTAGCGAGGGGGGGGGGGGCGGGGGGTGCGGACCGCACCGGGTGACACCATTTAGGGGGGTGACACCAAGGCAAAAAATAGCAAAATATATAGAGAAAAACTTGAGGCAAATCGAAAACTTGAGGGGGGGGGGGGGGTGCAAATCGAAAGTTCGAGGGGGGGTGCAATCGAAAATTTGAAAGTTTGTCCCCGGGAAGGGTCGCTACGCCTCTGGGGGGGTGACACCATTAACCATTAAGTGCCGCACCGGGTGACACCCGACCTCGCTACGCCACTGTACTCCATACTACCTTGTTGTTGTTTTACAACCAGTAACACTACTTACTGAAGGAAACATTCAAATGTTATTTAATTTCTTGAAACACTTGATGTCTTTTCCTTGGACTACAGAAGATGGTGACTTTACAATGTGTTAGTTTTCATGTTTCAGGACAATCTCCTAAAGACCAGTTAACAACCAAACTTTCTACTTTTTTGTTCTAATCTCACTATGCTAATGGTTTACTTTTCAGTCCAAGAAAAGCAAAAGGATTTCAGAATATGTAACTAATATATAGTTGTTTTTTTTCTCTTCAGATATTTTGTTCTTAAAAATGTTTTGATTATCAATGTTTTATTTTGATAATATTAGTACAGTAGTAGTCCATTTTGAGCCCTATATTTTTAGTTAATTACACACTAATTTGTTGTTTAATGTTGTTGTTTTTCTGAAAGATACTTCTTTTATTTGTTTCATGATATTAAAAAATGTAGGCCTACTAAAAAATAAATTATCATAACTATGTTAATTACATTAACAAAACATGCATGCTTCTTGAAAATCTAGTGATTTTAATTCTATTGAAATTTTCAGCTGTCAGCTTATAGCTGTGAAATATTTACTAGTTCCTTAAAAAATGTTTAACATAAATTAATTATTAATTAATTCATCACTTGATGTTTTTGTTTTTTTTAATCAGATTTACTAATATTGTTTAATTTAATTTAATTTTTTTTAATTTTTAAAACTTTTTTAATACTTTTAAATCTTTCCTTTTCTCTCCTTAAGTTAAAGTATCTAATCATGAAAAGCAAAATGTATCTATCGGTATTTTAAAAAGAAGTTTAATCACAATTTCTAACAAGAAAAGCAGTAGTAAAAACTGTTAGGAGACATCATCAACAACAGCAGCATATAAAGAGATTATGTTCATTGATAAATATAGGCTGAATAGAATCTGAGCTAAACAAATATAAATACTTTATTGGATGAAGAAAGCATTGTTTAACATTAATGGTTCATTTTGACAAATATTCTGAGTTTTTTTTTAACAATGTGACTTTGTGCCTAATGTATTATTCATTATATATAATCAGGAGTTAAATACTTCAAATACATTTACTTAACATTCAAAGTTATTTAAAGCATTAGATGATTTGTTGAAATCATCAAAAAATCTAATTAATGTAAATTAATGTTTAATTACTTCTAAATGTTTCTCATAGAGTGGACATCCATAATGTTGTCCGTAAAACACAAAAATGGGCAACAACTGCAAGCAACTCCATCGACAGTGAAGATGCCAAAATGGTAGACCAGGTACGGCCTGCCTTCACTTTTTTAAATGAGTTTCTGGATGAGGTTAAAGGTTAATTGTTTATTGGCTTGTAAATCTTCCTGTCATGGGTCACTGTCTTCCCTCCTGGTGCAGGTGTCCACCCTCCATAATCTTCCTGTCATGGGTCACTGTCTTCCCACCTGGTGCAGGTGTCCTCCCTCCATAATCTTCCTGTCATGGGTCACTGTCTTCCCACCTGGTGCAGGTGTCCTCCCTCCATAATCTTCCTGTCATGGGTCACTGTCTTCCCACCTGGTGCAGGTGTCCACCCTCCATAATCTTCCTGTCATGGGTCACTGTCTTCCCTCCTGGTGCAGGTGTCCGCCCTCCATGCCGACATGGTCAAGTGGATGGTGCAGATTCTGCTCCGTCTGGCCCCAGACAAGGAAGGCAACTCTAAGGAAGCTGGCGAGATGGCCCTGCTGGGCAGCGCTTCCATCCCACAGCTGACTGAGGTGGCTAAAACTTTGTTTGAGGCCTTAGAAAATTTCTCTAACTCGGTAACACTGTAAGTTCTAAATGTGTGACAATTATTTTTTGTCATACATTGTAAGTAAAGCTAGTAGATCAAACTGTGACTATGGATGTGTTGTGATGTTGTTTTATTGTGTTTTGTGCTGTGTTCATGATTTTAGCATTTTAATGCTATAAATTAGGACTCTTTTGTTACAAGAATTTAAAACCAGTTTTTCAGCCTTTTGTGTTGTTGTTTTTATATAACAAATTGGCATGTTTTCACTAAAACAATGTAGGTTTCTAGTTATAAATAATGGGATAAAATATTCACCACTATTTCCATTTGTGATGTAAAATTAGATAAAATGTTGGCTAATGTTGCAGTTGTGATGTTATAAAATGTTGACTTAAGTTGACTATTGTTGACTGATGTTGACTAAAGTTGACTACTGTTGCAGCTGTTGTAATGGGATTGTGATGGAGAACACACAGAGAAGGCTGGAGAACAACGAAGACAACGCTGACCATGAGCAGAAGGACCTCAAGAGACTCAAGGTAGTGGTTAGATCCTACATGTCATATTTAGGTCCTACATAAGTCATGTGTCAGGTCCTACATAAGTCATGTATTAGGTCAGGTCCTACATAAGTCATGTGTTAGGTCAGGTCCTACATAAATCATGTGTTAGGTCCTACATAAGTCATGTAAAAGGTCAGGTCCTACATAAGTCATGTATTAGGTCAGGTCCTACATAAGTCATGTGTTAGCATCATTTAAGTGCAAATATTAATTTAAAAATAAAATATTTTACATAAAGAAATACAGCTTATCATTTTAAAAGTTGTATTGATATGCAGCATTCTAATTTTACTTGCCCCATATGGTTTTCATAAAACCAGGTTGATTTTTTTTTAAATATAAGTAGTAATAACTCCAGTATCACTAATATGTAATGTTTTAAATGCCATGGTTCCCCCACCTGAAGTTTTTCTTGTCTTTTGAATGGTTCCCCCACCTGAAGTTTTTCTTGTCTTTCTAATGAAACCAGACAGAGTGTGATGACTGGATACACACGGCTAAAATGTTAATCTCTGAACTGACTGGGGAAACTATTGGGGACCTTTTCCCTGTTAGGATGGCCACCAGCCTGTCCAAGGAGTCTGAAGCTTCACCGCAGGAAGATGCTGGCACCATGAGTTTACCTGAACCAATCATGGTGCGGGATACCAAAGATGAGGTACTCATTTTTTTTAAAGTTTTCTTTTAGACCAGATGGCCCATGGTGCAGACAAAGCTTCTTCTCTGGCCACAGTGTGGTGATGTAGTGTGTATGACAACTGTGTACATGGGGCCAATCACTGCATGTGTCTGTGTGTGTGTATACAGTAGTAGTGTGCAAGGCCGGGTTTGTTGGTGTGGATCTGTTACATGTAAAATATGAAATCTTTAAAGTCAAATTACAATGGAATTACATTTATTTTAAATGGAAAGGTTACAAGTTGTAGTAAAAATATAACCCAATAACATGTTTTTTTTTTGCCTGTTATGTGTTGTGTTGAATAACATGTGCATCTGTTTCAAACCTTTTAATAATAAACTACGGTCAATTAGTGTTGTAATTTAAGGACATGGATTAGCTAACAGATTAAGGACATGATTTAGCTAACAGATTAAGGACATGGTTTAGCTAACAGATTAAGGACATGGTTTAGCTAACAGATTAAGGACATGGTTTAGCTAACAGATTAAGGACATGGTTTAGCTAACAGATTAAGGACATGGTTTAGCTAACAGATTAAGGACATGGTTTAGCTAACAGATTAAGGACATGGTTTAGCTAACAGATTAAGGACATGGTTTAGCTAACAGATTAAGGACATGGTTTAGCTAACAGATTAAGGACATGGTTTAGCTAACAGATTCTCACCACATTTTATAACTACCCAGGGCTTGACTCCTGAAAAAACAATTAGCAAAGTAGAAGAAAGGGAGACAACTCAGTCTGCATCATTGGATCAGGTAGTTTTAAATTACTTCCCTTGTATAAGCGAAACTTTTTAAAAAGATTTTATTCTGTAAACATAGTTTCCAATTGTAAAAGATTGAAAAATGTTATCAAAAAAATTCCTAGTCAGAAGACAGGAAACAAACAGCTCTAGTTGAACCAGGTGAAGCTAAGACAGGTGAAGCTAAGACAGGGGAGGTGAAGACACCAAAACTTGACAACATTGAAATCTTGGGCCAAGACGCCAACACCCACAGACTCAGCATAGAGAACGAGAAGGCTCAGGTAAAAACATTTTTACCCACTAACCTGTCTTATCACATTTTTACCCACTAACCTGTCTTGTCACATTTTTACCCACTAACCTGTCTTGTCACATTTTTACCCACTAACCTGTCTTGTCACATTTTTACCCACTAACCTGTCTTGTCACATGTTTACCCACTAACCTGTCTTGTCACATTTTTACCCACTAACCTGTCTTGTCACATTTTTACCCACTAACCTGTCTTGTCACATGTTTACCCACTAACCTGTCTTGTCACATTTTTACCCACTAACCTGTCTTGTCACATGTTTACCCACTAACCTGTCTTGTCATATTTTTACCCACTAACCTGTCTTGTCACATGTTTACCCACTAACCTGTCTTGTCACATGTTTACCCACTAACCTGTCTTGTCACATTTTTACCCACTAACCTGTCTTGTCACATTTTTACCCACTAACCTGTCTTGTCACATGTTTACCCACTAACCTGTCTTGTCACATTTTTACCCACTAACCTGTCTTGTCACATGTTTACCCACTAACCTGTCTTGTCATATTTTTACCCACTAACCTGTCTTGTCACATGTTTACCCACTAACCTGTCTTGTCACATGTTTACCCACTAACCTGTCTTGTCATATTTTTACCCACTAACCTGTCTTGTCACATGTTTACCCACTAACCTGTTGTAAAATATTTTGTCCCTACAGGCATTGGGTCAGGTTCCTGTCAAACCTGAGGTGGACGGAGCGCCGGACACAAAGAAAGCGTTTGAAGCTCTAGCAGCTGTACAGACACTTCAGACCCAGCTCATGTGAGAAGTTTATTTATCATCACACATTACATGCTAGCTAGTCACACATTACATGCTAGCTAGTCACACATTACATGCTAGCTAGTCACACATTATATGCTAGCTAGTCACACATTACATGCTAGCTAGTCACACATCACATGCTAGCTAGTCACACATCACATGCTAGCTAGTCACACATCACATGCTAGCCAATCATTCATCATACATCACACACTAGCCAGACATTGATCATACATTACACCTCTTCTGTAAGAAAGATTAACTATCACCTACACCTCTTCTGTAAGAAAGATTAACTTTCACCCCCACTTCTTCTGTAAGAAAGATTAACTATGACCCCTAGCTCTTCTGTAAGAAAGATTAACTATCACCTCCACAGATCAGCTGAGCTGAGAGCACAGGGAGCAGAAGAGAGAGCTTTTCAAGCCGAGGCCAACATTGTAGCACTGGAAGAAAAGATCAGGGCATTAGAAAAACTCATTCAAAAACAGCAGGAGACGGTGAGCATTTTCTTATGGATTTTTTTTTAACTGATCATTTTAATAGTTTAGATTTAATTTTAATTTTTTTAAAGTTTTTATTCAACCTGTACCTGAGTGAGTACCTGTTATTGAGTGAGAGGTCAAATGTAATATTAAATAAGTGCTGCAGCTCAGAAGACTAATGTATAAAGTACAACACACTAGGTCTCCACTGCCTCTTATAGATTTCTCCCACACCTAGTTACTGTCTCACCCAAATCAAGAGCACTAGTAACAAACAAGGGTTAGGTTTGTGTTTGTTATATAAGCAGCTACAATACTATTGTTATCCAAGTTGTTGTTTTTTTAGTTTTGCTCAAAAAAAAGACATTTTCAGTCAATGTAAAGCCATTGTGTAGTTGTCCTTGCTTTAGCTGTACCAGTCCTATACTTCTCACACCTTTGGAAACACACCTGCTCAAGAGGCTATTCAAACCTTGTGAAATATTTTAACACCTGCTTATTCCATCCAACAGCCAACCCCTGAAGCAGGACCCCCCCAGACCCAAGTGACAGCCACCCCCACCCCAGCACTGACCCCCACCACAACAGCTGGGGGTAAAGATGAGAAGAGTCCCAGGAAATCAGGGAAGGCTAGCAGTAAATCCACAAAAAAGAAATAATTAATTAACTCAAAAAAATTAACCCAAAAAATTAACTCAAAAAACTTTTATTGAACAAAATTGAAACTAGTGTTAAAAATACTTCATAGCAAACCATAATCAACAAACATAGTTTATAGTATTGTCTTCAGAATGTACATGTACAGTGGTTTTTTTTTCATTTAAAGCACTTAACCCTTTACAACCTACATTTAATACAACAATGTTATTGTTAACAACACATTCTTATCACAAGCCTTCACAAAAATCTAGAAGTGAAGAATAAAAAGTTACATAAGACTTTGTGATCTGTAAATTGGAAATGTCAGTAAAAAATATTGAAAGACTTTTAAATAAATGATAGCATTGCACATAGTTTAAATACTGGACGATTAAACAAGTTACAAGAGCACTGTGGTATAATGTGAATGCTACAATTTGAATGGACAAATAAGGAATGATATAAATATGGAGTATTTAATATGATCACATTGACAGATTTTTCTAGTATGTTATACTGCCAACATCATGGCTATTGAATTGACATTGAAAGATTTCTACACTGAAAGTTGGCTAAGGAAGTACCTGGCATAGGAAAACATCTTTAGTTTGTTTTAAATTTATTACTGTGTATGTTTGTTGATGTATGGGGGCATAAGCTTTGGCTGATACAGAAACCTAAGTGTGATAAATGTGACAGAAATAAGAACATTCCTGTTGTCAAATATTAAAAAGTTACTTACAAATGTACACAAGTAAAATTGTTAAAAATGAATTTTTTTTTATTTGCTTAGCAAATTTTCTTTAAAAAAGCAAGAGATTTTCAGTCCTCACAAAAGGATAGGGTAATATATTTTTTCTAAAAATTGTTGTTAGCATTGCAATTGCTGAGCTTGAAATTGTTTCCAAAATTACTATATTGAATCCAGGTTGCTAAATTAGGTACATTTTTTAACACATAAAACAAAGTAGCTTTTTTCATGTTAAAATTATTTATTTATAAGTGTTATTGTTAAAATTAAGTTAACAATTGCAACTGCTGATTTTTTGTTTATACATCATTTAGATTTTATAATTACAGATTAAAAATGTATGTATGTAACTTATGTTGTATGTATATACAGGTCAAAACTGCTGAAACAAGAAGCTACAGCATTGATTTTATATTCTTATCTTTCTTGAACTAGTTTACATAGTTATCTATATGTGATATGTACATTGTTTCCTGAGAATTTTATTTATATACAAATATACATGAGTTTTTTGTTATGTGTAAATGTTTTAATGTTTTACTTTTTTTTAAATAAAGAAATATTTACAAGGTTACTTTGTTATATGTAAGTTTTAAGATTTTACATTTTTTTTGTAAAAAAGTATTTACAAGCTTACTTTGTTCTTTTGTAAGTTTAAAGGTAAAGAAATATATACAAGCAATTTCCCAGACTGAAGTTTTGATCTATCATACATATAAAATATAATTTTTATTTACATCAATGAAATTCAACTTTCTTTGAAAAAATGTGTTTAGATAATGTTGTACTAAATAGTACTAATAGGAAATATGCAGAATAAAGCAAGATTATTTATTATAAATAAATTTCTTTGTCTAGTATCTTTAAAAAAAAGAAATGTGCTTATAATAAAAGTTTCTTATGCTGTAAGTTTGTCTAATCCCTGTATTATGCCCTAGATTACATTATTATAATGTACAGCCTCAGAGGCATTCAGTTTCCTCTATCTACTGTTAACAAAATGTACAGAAAAAAATTTCTCTAAATGCCTCTTGACACAAAAAACTTAAGTATGTACATGGAGGACAAAGAAATGTTGATGTAAAATTTTATACAAATGTTTGACATGGAGTAATGTGCAAACATATATGACCCACATCAGAAGTTAACTATTTCATTTGTCATGTCAATATTTAACTTTGTGTAAGTAAACAATTTTTAAAATAACATCACTTTTGTAAGCGTTTAACTTAGTGTCAGTTAAATATTTTAAAAATAAAATATTTTGTAAGCGTTTAACTTGGTGTAAGTGATTCCTTTGAAAATAAAATATTTTGTAAGCGTTTAACTTGGTGTAAGTGATTCCTTTGAAAATAAAATAGTTTTTATACTGTCTTGCCAAAACTAGTTGCAATAAAATTCAAATACGGACATTGATCTAAAGTGTTTTTTTTATATTTACAGATATATTTCACTTATCTTTTTATTAAAAACCTAAAATGTGTTCTTCCTTTAAAACAAATTTTATGATATTTGGTCCAACTTAAAAAAACTTTAAATCTTTAAAATTCCTAAAATATGAATTTAAAATATTTGAAAGCTAAAACAAAATTTAAACCCTTTACCAGTTGATAAAGAGACATTACGCCCTTTTTATTTTAATTTACTTATCCATATGTTATAACAAAAGAAAGACAAACCAGTCAAAACCAACCTCACATCTTATAACCTAGGCCCAGCTACTTACAACAATGATCTAAAGCCAACTTCACATCTTATAACCTAGGCCCAGCTACTTACAACAATGATCTAAAGCCAACTTCACATCTTATAACCTAGGCCCAGCTATTTACAACAATGATCTAAAGCCAACTTCACATCTTATAACCTAGGCCCAGCTACTTACAACAATGATCTAAAACCAACTTCACATCTTAGTTACATGATCTCTGCTAGCCCTGTACTGCTTCTTGCCAAAGGAGAGTTTGGAAGACAAAGCAGAAAATATTGATGGTGACTTAACATGTGTTTCATCTGACTGAGTGGATGAAGATGATGCTGTGGATGATGCCATTGATGATGCTGTGGATGGTGTTGATGAGGATGTAGATGAAACTTGCATGGAAGTTTTGGAATCAAGTTCTGCCTGTTTCACTGTCTCGTCTGCTAAAGCTGACTCCAGTATAGCACGCCTGCGGTGTGACTGGCGATACAAACAAAATTAAAGATTATTTCTATGTACTCTTGATTAATATCTCAACTCTTGGGTTTAAATACAATATTTACTTAAGAAATTGTCACAAATAATGTCTTTAGGAATGTCAAAGCTGTCAATACCTGTCGGCCTCTTGAGGTCCTGTTACGTAGAAAATTGTCATGTAAGTTGCCGTTCATCTAAAATTGAATCAAAAATAAGTTTCAACTACACTATTTGAAACATGATGATGTGATCAAAATAGTTTCAAATACAATGTTTGAAACATGATGACATAACCAAGTTAAGAAAAGTCAATTTTAAAAAGCTAATTTTAGGATCAAAATTAATTGGGTTATTTTTGCTTTGATTTCTATAAACAAAATGTATATTTTTAAACCCTTATAATTCATTCTCTAGAAACAGAAACTTTGAATGTCTATAGTGAATCAAAAGACTGACCTTTGCCAAATTGTCAACATCCTCATATATAGCTTCATCAAGGCCTTCATGATTTGCACAACCTGCAACACAATAGTTTTATGTATAGTCTATTTTTACATTTAGCTTATAAAGATAATCTATGCAGGTCTATTCTTACATTTAGTTTATAAAGATAATCTATGCAGATATTTCTGCACAAAAGATTTACATCTAGTTTAAACAAGACAGTAAATAAACTTTAACTGATGCTGACTTAAAAAATGGTTTACCAATCTTGCTTTTTGATCCAACTGTTTCCTCAAAATACATGTTGATTGGCTGGGAATGGTCAGGTGACTTGACTGCTGCAAGCTGAAGGGGTGTGGCGTCTGCTTTACTTGAAGGGGAGACAACTGGTACATTTTTGTTGCTGTTCTTTCTTGGCAGAGGGGGTGGGGCTAGGTTTAAGGTTGAAGGCCTCTCTGGGAACCTAGGAGAGACCCCTGAAGGTAAGGGTGTGGTTTGTGGGGTGGAGGCAGCAACAGGAGGGGAGGGAAGGGGTGGGGGAGTGGATGGAAGGGGTGGGGGTGTGGATGGAAGCTGGGGTGGGGGTAGTGGCAGCTTTGGCCGCTGCATGTAAGGGGGACTCAGGACTGGCAGTGGAACATCATGCAAACACTTGACCTGAGAGGCCTTGCGCGCTATTTCCTCAACCAGCCAGGTCATACTCTGGCTAGTTGTCAGCCTGGAGTCATCAACTAGCTCTGTCACGCTAGATCTCCTAGACTTGGATGGGGCAGAAATATTCTGAACAGAGTAGGCCCTTGACAGCGGGTTGGCGAATGATATTTCTTTTTTCTTAGATTTCTTTTGAGATTCTTGTGATTGCTCAGGATCTTTTTTTCTACCCTGCGCCATGAAGAGCTTCAAATTTTGGGCCAACCTGGGAGGTGTGCCTGGCCTACCAGAAGATTCATTAGAAGACCTCGATGATTTGGACGTGCTTCTGTCTAATGTTGCTCTCTGTTGGGAGGACAACTTATCTGTGGTGCTGGGAGACCCTGACGAGGATGTGGAGGGGGGATCAGAGTCCAAGCTATGATATCTGTGATGGACTACCGTCTTGGCCGAGACCCTGATTCCATTGGATAGGGGAGAGAATGCTGATTGTTCCAGCAGGTTGCTGGGTGTAGATTCAGTTGCTCCACCCTCTGGTGACTTGAGAGTTGTCTGCCCATAGGTAGTTTTATCAACTGGTGTTGGTGCCAGTTTTCTTTGAATAAACACAGGTGGTGGAGAAAGGCTTGAACTCTCTTTTTCCTGCAGGAATGGCAAACATTATTTGATTTAAATTATATTAATTAGAATTTTTTACTTGTTTTTTAAGGTTTTAATTTTTTCAAAGAAGTAGTTTGTTCATCTAATAAAGCTAGTTTTCTCATCTACCAATTAACAAAGCTAGTTTGTTCATCTACCAATGAGAATGAAGCTATAGTTTTTTCATGAAACAATAAGAATAAAGCTATGATCTCACCAAACTGTTGCTTTCTTCTCCAATAGAACTCATGGAATTCTGACTCTGTTTTCTTGTTTTTCTGCTAGTATCTATAAAATAACATTTTTAAAATTTTTGTTAATTTTTATTTTCAATTTTCAATATTTTTTCAGTAAAGTGTCATCAGTGGTCCCTAGCTGATGCAGAGCTAGGCTTGTCAAAAACAAGGATCACACAATGAAAAAGTTTGTTGCCAAATGAACTATTACTTATACAGTTATGTTCCCTACCTTGGGCCATATCAAGAAGAATTGTATGGCTAGGTCCTCTTAATCCACGGAATAATAATTCGGTAGGGTTGGAGTATTCTGCAGACATTGTCATGTACATCTCATCATCGTCTGCAATAGAAACAAACTTTTACTAAAACTATTTTTTTAAATAATAAAATTTTGTAAGTTTTTTCAACACTATTTAAAAAACATTTTTCACCAAACAAAAAAAACTAAAACTTTAAAATTGGGTAAAAGATTTAAGAAAATTAAATGACACTGTACTTAATTTCATAAGAAAAATTTGCAAGTGACACCAAGTACTTACATGAAGCTGTCTGTAAAAACTAAGGAGAAAAAAAAATTTACCATCAATTTTTGTATTCCTTTTATTTGATTACTAGTTACAAATCTCAAAATATGATTTTTTTTCTATTGATAGTCTTTAAATTACTTTCAACGGTAAAATTTAAAATGCAATACCTCTATCTTAGTCCTAAAATTTTAACTGTAATAGCTCTATCTTATTCCTAAAATTTAAAATTTAATACTTCTATCTTAGTCTTAAAATTTAACATGTAATACCTCTACCTTATTCCTAAAATTTAACATGTAATACCTCTACCTTATTCCTAAAATTTAACATGTATTACCTCTATCTCAGACCTGAACAGCTGCGCCAAGTTTTGATGATTATAATTTGCAGCAATTTCTTCTGGCGTAAAGCCATCCTTGTTACGTATCCCTAAAGCCATGGAGGCCCACGGATGTCTGAGAAGGTTTTCAGCCACAGCGTACAGGTTGAACTTGGCTGACATATGAAGCAGTGTAGGCAGCTCTTGGTAGGAATTCAGCATAGAGCCTGTTACAAGTTCAATGTCAAGTGGGGTTTTTCAAATGTTACTTTAAATAATTACTATAATACATTTATTAAGTTTTAAAATGTGATTTTTTAAAATCTATAGATTAATCTAGCATAAAATTAAGATCAAAATTAAGATCATTATTTAAAAAATTATATACTGATTAATTCTGACATGACTTGTGAACTGATGTTTACAACTAGTATTTAAATACAATCATACACATAAATATGTATGTAATTACAACTTGTAACGATTGATTACATTGTTATCTATGTAATTACAACAATTAACAATGAATTGATTCATGTATTTACTGACCACTCTCACAGCTAATGGACTCGATCCAGCCCATCATGATACGCTGAGCTTCAGACATGGTCTTGACGTGGACCTTGAACTTGAACCAGCTGGCCAGCTTCTCGTCCAGGGCCTCGGCGGAGATCTCATCCAGCTGCAGGGCTTGACACATGAACTCTATGGGGTTAATCAGGTCCAGCAGGAGGGACGACAGCAGGTGCGCTTTGTTGCGGTAATTTATTTCATCTGTTCCTAATGATGCTCCTTCGTTTGTGAATATCTCAATGGCGACTGAATTCTGGGAACTTGCTGGAACATTTTTAACACACACAAAATTATTACTCCATTAGTATTTAATAAGTATTTAATAATTTAATAAGTATTTAATAATTCTGAATGTTAGTAAACTTTAATTTGAATTATTCTGTATAAATTAAAATTTTATATATTAAAAAGTTGAGATACAGAATTTTATAGAAAATAAATCCTTAAACATGAGCAGGAACAATTTGCAGTGGAAATTTAGCTGTATTGTAAACATTTTAAAATTATGTGCGTGTAATGTAGTTCTACTCTATAGAACACAAAATGTGCTTTAAAAACCTACCTGGGACATTAAATTCATAAAGACATTCAGAAAACTTGTGGGCGATAATCTCATGTCCGTTCTCCAAACGTAGAGTGAGTTTAGATCCATCAACATTCTCAGGTAGCTTGTCCTCTAGTAGGATAAATCTGACGTCGCCAGCCTGTCAAGTTTGGTTACATTAGCGTCAGATGTAGTTGTTGACTTAATGTGTCAGATGGACAGTTGTTGACTTAATGTGTCAGATGGACAGTTGTTGACTTAATGTGTCAGATGTACAGTTGTTGACTTTATGTATTAGATGTACAGTTGTTGACTTAATGTGTCAGATGTAGTTGTTGACTTAATGTATCAGATAGACAGTTGTTGACTTAATGTGTCAGATGGACAGTTTGTTGACTTAATGTATCATATAAATAGTTGTTAACTTTATGTATTAGAAGTACAGTTGTTGACTTAATGTATCAGATAGACAGTTGTTGACTTAATGTATCAGATGGACAGTTCTTGACTTAATGTATCAGATGGACATTTGTTGACTTAATGTGTCAGATGTAGTTGTTGACTTAATGTGTCAGATGGACAGTTGTTGACTTAATGTGTCAGATGTAGTTGTTGACTTAATGTGTCAGATGTAGTTGTTGACTTCATGCGTCAGATGGACAGTTGTTGACTTAATGTGTCAGATGTAGTTGTTGACTTAATGTGTCAGATGTAGTTGTTGACTTAATGTATCAGATGGACAGTTGTTGACTTAATGTGTCAGATGGACAGTTGTTGACTTAATGTATCAGATGGACAGTTGCTGACTTCATGCGTCAGATGGACAGTTGCTGACTTCATGCGTCAGATGGACAGTTGTTGACTTAATGTGTCAGATGTAGTTGTTGACTTAATGTGTCAGATGGACAGTTGTTGACTTAATGTGTCAGATGTAGTTGTTGACTTCATGCGTCAGATGGACAGTTGTTGACTTAATGTGTCAGATGTAGTTGTTGACTTAATGTGTCAGATGTAGTTGTTGACTTAATGTATCAGATGGACAGTTGTTGACTTAATGTATCAGATGGACAGTTGTTGACTTAATGTATCAGATGGACAGTTGTTGACTTAATGTGTCAGATGGACAGTTGTGACTTCATGTATCAGATGGACAGTTTTTGACTTAATGTGTCAGATGTAGTTGTTGACTTAATGTATTAGATGGACAGTTGTTGATTTAATGTGTCAGATGTAGTTGTTGGCTTAATGTGTCAGATGGACAGTTGTTGACTTAATGTATTAGATGTACAGTTGTTGACTTAATGTATTAGATGTACAGTTGTTGAATTAAACCTAAAGTATAGCTGATTTTACCACTAGGCTTAATCATGTGTTTAAAACTTCGCTATTGATAAGAAAAGATGTACATACCAAAACTGGCTTGTTGGGCAAAATGTGACACTTCTTTAACTTTGGTATGGGCATGTACACATGCTCTTCCTCCAGCGCTGATATCAAACTGATCATGCATTGGTTGAATGATTCACGGGTCTCCCCCACCTCCAGGTAGCGCCAGGTGAGGTCACTGTTGTTAAATATGATGGAGACTTGCTTTTGGATTTCTTCAACTGCCACAAAGCAGCCAACAGCGACAGGCTTGCTGCCAGCACCCAGGTGTGTGGTGAAAGAGGGCCTGAAATGGTGATATACAATTGTTATAATGAGCTTCTGATGATATAGAATTGTTATAATGAGCTTCTGATGAGGATATACAATTGTTATAATGAGCTTCTGATGAGGATATACAATTGTTATAATGAGCTTCTGATGATGATATACAATTGTTATAATGAGCTTCTGATGAGGATATACAATTGTTATAATGAGCTTCTGATGATGATATACCATTGTTATAATGAGCTTCTGATGAGGATATACAATTGTTATAATGAGCTTCTGATGAGGATATACAATTGTTATAATGAGCTTCTGATGAGGATATACAATTGTTATAATGAGCTTCTGATGAGGATATACAATTGTTATAATGAGCTTCTGATGAGGATATACAATTGTTATAATGAGCTTCTGATGAGGATATACAATTGTTATAATGAGCTTCTGATGAGGATTTACAATTGTTATAATGAGCTTCTGATGAGGATATACAATTGTTATAATGAGCTTCTGATGAGGATATACAATTGTTATAATGAGCTTCTGATGATATAGAATTGTTATAATGAGCTTCTGATGAGGATATACAATTGTTATAATGAGCTTCTGATGAGGATATACAATTGTTATAATGAGCTTCTGATGATGATATACAATTGTTATAATGAGCTTCTGATGAGGATATACAATTGTTATAATGAGCTTCTGATGATGATATACCATTGTTATAATGAGCTTCTGATGAGGATATACAATTGTTATAATGAGCTTCTGATGAGGATATACAATTGTTATAATGAGCTTCTGATGAGGATATACAATTGTTATAATGAGCTTCTGATGAGGATATACAATTGTTATAATGAGCTTCTGATGATATAGAATTGTTATAATGAGCTTCTGATGAGGATATACAATTGTTATAATGAGCTTCTGATGAGGATATACAATTGTTATAATGAGCTTCTGATGAGGATATACAATTGTTATAATGAGCTTCTGATGAGGATATACAATTGTTATAATGAGCTTCTAATGATGATATACCATTGTTATAATGAGCTTCTGATGAGGATATACAATTGTTATAATGAGCTTCTGATGAGGATATACAATTGTTATAATGAGCTTCTGATGATGATATACAATTGTTATAATGAGCTTCTGATGATGATATACAATTGTTATAATGAGCTTCTGATGATGATATACAATTGTTAATGAGCTTCTGATGATGATATACAATTGTTATAATGAGCTTCTGATGATATAGAATTGTTATATGAGCTTATGATGATATACAATTGTTATAATGAGCTTCTGATGATGATATAGAATTGTTATAATGAGCTTCTGATGATGATATAGAATTGTTATAATGAGCTTCTGATTATATAAAATTGTTTTAATGAGCTTATGATGATAATATAGGCTTGTTTTAATGAGCTTCTATTATGCTGAAGTGCTTGTACAGTAATACTGCTCATTATGCTTATAGTACATCATGGCCATTATTTATAGAACAATAAACCATGAAAACATATCTCCCTGGCTTAAATTAAGGTATAATGTAAGAAAGAAAGTTAACAAAAGCAAGTATAAAATTGAGTAGTAAAGTAAATATTTAGGTTTTATCTTTTTGGATAACCAAAAGTGTTGAATGGGTCAGCGAAGTGGAAACTAAAAGAATCAACCTTAAGGGTTTATTTATTAAACCAAAGCACTACAACAAGAGTTAAGATGTAAAGATATTTGCCAAAATGGCAGATGTAGTATCATGCAGCAAATCATAATAAGCTCATTAACAACTTTAAAGGGCTATCAACATGTAAATGACATTTTGTAATGTATTACTTCCCTTTTTAACTAAAAAAAAACGTAAAAAATAGTTTTAAAAATGATAGTATCTGTAAGTAAGTACTAGATCTAAGTATTAATCTTTGGTGTATCATTCAAACAAAAAAGCACATATATTATTAGTCATAATATAACTTGTCTAGTTTTAATTTATAAACAGTCCTTTTAATTTTATTGACACAATTACCCCCCCCCCCCCCCCCCCATCATCCCCACCACCATTGCCTCCTGACACCATTGTTTGTAGGAAACTGATCTACTGCCTCACACACATCCGATATTTAGACTGACCTCTCGTCCTCCGTGGTTGTGTTCAAGTACTTGAGCATGCCAGGGGTGACCAGGAGCACCGAGATGTCCGCTTTTGTCATGTTGGCCAGGCTGGTCTGGGAAGACGAGCGGCGCTGTAGGTCGTACAGGTCCACCGTCAGGTTGTACCGGTCTCCGGAAAATTTGGTGATCATTGACTCGGCCACGGGGATACCGTCACTGACGTGAAAGATTCGGAAGTCAGGCATTGTGGTCTGAGGAATAAAACACGTATTGTAGGCTTAGGAATAATCAGGCATTTAGGCTGAGAAATAAATAGGCATTATATGCTGCAGTGGCGTCGCTTGGTCGCGTGTCACCCGGCGCGGCACCTCATGGTGTCATCCCCCCCCCCCTAAAATATATAGGCATACGTAGGCCTAAAGATATATATAGTTGCCATTGATGTCACCCCTTCCCCGATGGTTGATTGATTTGCACAATACTTCATCAAGTGCTTAATTAAGAAAACAGAAGTTAATACATTGTAGACAGATAAAACAAATATACAGAAATGATTTAAATGTATCCGGTCCAGGCAGGTACTTGGGCTAGGAGAGGATATTTAATTTATCGCTTGTGGAAACCATTTGTCACTCTGAACATTACATTTTTTTTAAATATAGGGGGATGCATTGTAAAAAAAAATTATAACTGTAAAATACTAAGTGAAAATGAATACTAATACTATGTTTATTCTTCATTACAATTGGAATTCCTCAAATACTAAAATAGAACCATGACTTCCAGAGTCGCGTGTTTCCGACCATTTCTATTGGCAGTTGATTGGTCGTTGAGTTCACGTGGTCACAACATATGAAATTATGTGGCCTGTAGTGGGCCAAGCTTCATTTCTTTTTAATATGTGAGGCACCTTCCGGAGCTGGAAGGGCCAAAAAAACATTTCTACACCAACACACGTGTGTGTGCACACCAACACAACACACGTGTGTGTAAAAACCAACACACAACACACGTGTGTGTAAAAACCAACACACAACACACGTGTGTGTAGACACCAACACACAACACACGTGTGTGTAGACACCAACACAACACACGTGTGTGTTACTGTGTAGACTCCAACACAACACACGTGTGTAGACCCCAACACAACACGTGTGTGCGTAGACACCAACACAACACACGTGTAGACACCAACAAAACACACGTGTAGACACCAACACAACACACGTGTGTGTAGACCACAACACGTGTGTGCGTAGACACCAAAACAACACGTGTGTAGACACCAACACAACACACGTGTGTACACACCAACACAACACACGTGTAGACAGTAACACAGTTTTAGTTTAGAAATGTGCTTTAAAAACATGTACATTTCGATAATTCACAAAATATGTTTGTATGCCTATAACACTGAAGGAATGGTCCAACTGCAGGCTATAGAGGATACATTATTCTGGTAATTGGCACACGCCCTACGTAAGAAGTTTTGGGAATCAGCCTAGTAGCAAGGCCTTTTGTGACAACAGAAGTAAGACCCACAACAAAAGTACGGAGTACCTTGACTTGAAAGCCTGTCTGTGTGACCAAATCAACAATGTGTAGTTAACATTGTTTTGTGAACTGTCACGTGACCGATACCTTGCGCAATGTGTCCCAGTGTAAGACAGTAGCACCGGGACTGTACGATAGAAGGGGGGGGTCAATGACCTTGAGTACACTCCAGAAATACCATTGGGTGTTTTGAAAAGGATAATTGGAATTAATTGTAACTATTGGCGTGTAAGAAGAAATTAACTGGGGTACGGCTCAACTTTGGGAAATCTTAACACAGATTTCTATATTTAATATTAGGTAGGCCTATAACACGTAGATAATGGATGGTTTGAAATTGACCAGTGGTCTGTTATCGCGGAATGTTTAGAGATCCAACACAAACTGATATGGTGACCAGTTTTGACCGATCAAAACACCCGCTATGTGTGGAGAAAGCTAGAGTTGGACAAGATGTTTGGCTTGTGAGTCTATTCACACGTTTTGTTATTTTTATTTTGCGTGCCTAAAAAGCCTGCCAAATAAGATAGTTTCCTATAGCCTATACCAAGGGAGGGGCCTTAAGAATGGTTTTCGCGACACTGCTGGTTCTTGTGGGTTATCAGTGCTTCTTTAAGGCATCTCTGGGGTGGGGGGAGGGGCTTTTCCTAATGGAGCACCCCAAAATACTAAATAGTAACAAATAGCCTATAAGGGGGCCTATACAATTATACCATGGGAACTTTCATGTGCCCCCCCCCCCTTACGAAGATAAAATGTTTGAAACACACCCTAGTTGGGATAAACCTTCGGAAAATAAAAGTCAATAACCTCTAGCATAACATACAAGACAAATTACTACCTGCAGTTTCTTTTAAATTTAAAAGCACTTAACTTGTAGGCACAGTTAAGCTTCTTTTAAATAAGACTAAAACTAAAACTGCCTAAAATTGAACGATTATTATATAGTCCCGGAACAGCGCATTTTGAAAATACGAATTTTCACTTTGTGTGTGGTCAAGTTTGATTTAGTTTAATATTTTAAAAATAGAAATAACATAAAGTACTTACCTTTCCTTTAGTATCCCAGTAATGTTAAAATAAATAAATAAATAATCCGCTGTACCCCTCGGAGGTCAGTCACAGCTCCATGTGTGCAGAGAAATAAAAGTTTGGCTTCTTAAACGTAAAAACACCAGCAAAGTATTCCAAATGTTTACAAAGTTTCGAATGTAACCAGTGATGAAACGGTCAGCACATAAAGCTCAGAAATATTTGTGTATCCAGAGATTAGAAATGAAGGTATCCCTCTTGCGATACCACAAGTAGGTCTGTTTAAGTGTTGTCAATCAGGGATAGATCTGAAATGACTGGATGGCTTGCGTGCTGAGCGGTCAAACCCGCCACCCCTATTCATCCACGAAGGGTGATCCAAAACGAGGCCACGACGCGCGTACTGTCCGATCAAAACAACACAACAAGCGAGTGAAAGCTGAGTGACGTTGTTGACAAACTGAGTTTGGGAGATTATGTGGCGTTGGCTGTCCTATCTTGCCGGATTTCGTTCAAGCGTCGATTCACCCAGTCCACCCCCACCCAACCCCTCCCTCCCCCGTCGATTCACCCAGTCCACCCCCACCCCCACCACCCCCCCCCCTCCCCAAGATGCTGAAGTCCCTCACCCCCACCCCCTCACCAAGATGCTGAATTCATTGTGTCCACCACCCCTCCCCAAGTTGCCTATCTTTTACAGCTTACACAATGTTAGGCAAAGTGTGTTCCTGACCCGTACACCCGCAAACCTTGAGCCAAGCCCCCGGGGGTAGGGCAAGCCTATACGTCCTTGGCTAGGGCGACTTGAAATTTGTTCTAGAAATAAAGCTTCAGTATTATAAAGAAATAATGGTAGTGGCCTTTATCGCAAATTGGGGGGGGGGGGGGATTGTTTCAGAAATAGGCATACTTTGTAGGTGAACGGAAAAAAGTCACAGGAAAAAAAAAAACACAGAAAAAAAGTCAAATATATATTTGTGACTTTTTTCCTTTGACTTTTTTCCCTGTGTTTTTTTTTCCTGTGACTTTTTTTCCTATAAACACTTTGTAAATCTATTTTTGAAATAATAAGTCACTGGAAAACTAGTCAAAATGTGTATTTGCATGGAATTTGTTAATACGTTTAATAAGTAATTACAAAGTAGAAATCAATATATGATTAATTAAGTTAATCTAAACATTGTATATGTATGTGCGTAGGCTATATTTACAAATCACGGGAAAATATTTAGTTTGAAGTCTGAGAGCTTTACTTCAGTTATAGAACTGAATAGAATGTTCCATGATATTTAGTTTGTGTTCAAGTTTAGTGCCCACGTAACAAAACACAGGATCTAGACACAGTACTGAGGGCGTCAACAAAAGACACAGTACTGAGGGCGTCATTGATGCATGACGTCAACAAAACACAAAGTGGAAGGACGGGGCCGGCCGTGGATACATACGTAACATTTCTTCTATAGTTAATTTTTGTTATAATAATATGCAACAAAACTATAGCGTGCTGTACAAATTATATTTGAGTATATTTTTCTTGAGAAGTTGAGATGAAAGTCGAATTATTATCGTAAACCATAATGTCTTTAAACTAAAAAAAAAAACACCTCCCACTACTAAATCTACATGAAACACATCGTGCTCATACATATAAAATACATTGAGAAAAAACTGCAATAAAATATCAGCCATTTCTGGTCAGGTGATTTGAAACAAAAAACAAGCTCATCGGTTGTGTTAAAAACAGGATCAAAAAATCTTTATTTGGGTTGTGTTCTAGTCAATTCATGACAGAGAATTTTGAACAAGTAAATAATGTATTGGGCTAAAAATTAAAGTTGGACATTTTAAATTAAAAATGTATCTCTTAAGACATGTCGATCTAGTTTCTTAGAGTATCTATTATCTGACAAATGTCCTCTTGCTCTCATTATCTCTATTGACGTCAGAACAAAGATTGTACTCGACTGGCGACAAATTAGAAGTGAAGGGCGACAACTGGGGGGGGGGGGGTGGCAACAATTCCTGACAAAACCTTACCACATGTACACGCCATCCTGATGGTACCTCTTGTTCCATTTTGTTTGTGTCCGTCCTTGTGTCAGCTTTAAACCATCCGTCCACTTACCGGGGCATTGTCCTGCTTGACCGGATATTACGACATAATGGGATTAAGGTTGGTTTAAACCTCGCTACACCTGGGTAAACTTACAAGTCGGGGAGATCAAAGGACTATCTACAACTGCTGTTCGCACATTTCATTTTCCAGGGGAAGTAATTCGCGTGTGAGATAACTCTTGTTTATATCTACAGATACCACTGACCGCCTCCCCCCCCCCCCTACAGCTCTTATATCGTATCAGCTGTAATCAATTTAGCGATGCTTTGTCTTGACGTTTTCTTTACCAAAACAAGACGAGAGATGTTTGTGTACTGACACTTGAATTATTTATTTACTGATTTAAAACCACGCTAGTCAGGGCACTTATACAACCATAGACAGACTGGCAAACAAGTTTTACAAATGACATCAGTGTTTCTTCCAGGCAAGGCCCCTCACCCAAAGAAAGTCTACTCCCCCCCCCCCCCCCCCCGAGCGAAATGGAATTTATATAGAAAATATATACTTTCAAGAGTATAACCTCACCCCAAGAGCCTAACCTAGCCCAGACCAAGGACTAGTCTACTTGCAGCCCATACAACTCAATATACTCCAATGGCGTGTGTATCCCCCCCCCCCCCCCCCCACACTTGTCGTCTTCTCGTTTTACATTCAAATTTCCCCTCAGTAATACATTTAGTTTTTTTAGACTCTAAATGTCTAAATCTAAAAAAATTAGACTCTAAATGTCTAAATCTAAAAAATGTAGACTCTAAATGTCTAAATCTAAAAAATTTAGACTCTAAATGTCTAAAGCTAAAAAATTTAGACTCTAAATGTCTAAATCTAAAAACATGAAAAAAAAATCTGCGTTATATTAATATTAATTAAATTTAAGAACACACGGACGTTAGACGTTGTCTTTTTTTAAAACAGGCAACCAATCGATCTAAAATTGATTGATTAATGAGCAGGCTGTGGTGTATGTTTAGTGCAATTATCTCCCCTACACAAACAAAACGTTTCATCCACTGAGATCTGTAGGTGAGGGGGAGGGGGGTGAATGGGGGTGGATGGGGCATTGCACACAAAGAAAAATTGACATCGCCATATCTTTGTTAAATATATTGAAGTCTACTTTTTAAATTTTTTAAAAATATTTTGAATAGAAATGTGAATAAATCAATTTCTATTTCCTCTGTGAATCAATTCCTCTTCATAACGAATGCAACTCTGTTTGAAATAACTTCAGTAGCTACGACAGGGTTAGATTTGTCTACATATTATTTAGATTTGTCTACATATTATATAGATTTGTCTACATATTATTTAGATATGTCTACATAGTATCTAGATATGTCTACATGGTATCTAGATATGTCTACATATTATTTAGACCTTCATATCATGATTAAATGGGTACGGTGTAGTGAATAGTGTGTGTTTGTGAAGATGTGGGACCCTAATGTGTTAGTGATGATGTGGGGCCCTGTTGTATGTGGGACCTGGTATGTTTGTGAAGATGTGGGACCTGGTATGTTTGTGAAGATGTGGGACCTGGTAGGTTTTGTGATGATGTGGGACCTGGTATGTTTGTGAAGATGTGGGACCTGGTAGGTTTTGTGATGATGTGGGGCCCTGGTATATTTGTGATGATGTGGGGACCTGGTATGTTTGTGATGATGTGAGGCCTGGTGTGTTTGTGATGATGTATGTGGGGCCTGGTATGTTTGTGATGATGTGGGACCTGGTATGTTTGTGATGATGTGGGACCTGGTATGTTTGTGATGATGTGGGGCCCTGGTATATTTGTGATGATGTGGGACCTGGTATGTTTGTGATGATGTGGGGCCCTGGTGTGTTTATGATGATGTGGGACCTGGTATGTTTGTGATGATGTGGGACCCTGGTGTGTTTGTGAAGATGTGAGGCCTGGTATGTTTGTGATGATGTTGGGCCCTGGTATGCTTGTGATGATGTGGGGCCCTGTTGTATGTGGGACCTGGTATGTTTGTGATGATGTGGGACCCTGGTATGTTTGTGATGATGTGGGGCCCTTGTGTGTTTGTGATGATGTTGGGCCCTGGTATGCTTGTGATGATGTGGGGCCCTGTTGTATGTGGGACCTGGTAGGTTTTGTGATGATGTGGGGCCCTGGTATATTTGTGATGATGTGGGACCTGGTATGTTTGTGAAGATGTGGGACCTGGTAGGTTTTGTGATGATGTGGGACCTGGTATGTTTGTGATGATGTGGGACCTGGTATGTTTGTGATGATGTGGGGCCCTGGTATATTTGTGATGATGTGGGACCTGGTATGTTTGTGATGATGTGGGGCCCTGGTATGTTTGTGATGATGTGGGGCCCTGGTGTGTTTGTGATGATGTGGGACCTGGTATGTTTGTGATGATGTGGGACCTTGTATGTTTGTGATGATGTGGGACCTGGTATGTTTGTGATGATGTGGGACCCTGGTATGTTTGTGATGATGTGGGGCCCTAGTGTGTTTGTGATGATGTGGGGCCCTGGTGTGTTTGTGATGATGTGGCACCCTGGTATGTTTGTGATAATGTGGGATCCTGGTAAGTTTGTGATGATGTGGGGCCCTGGTATGTTTGTGATGATGTGGGACCCTGGTATGTTTGTGATGATGTGGGGCCCTGGTGTGTTTGTGATGATGTGGGACCCTGGTATGTTTGTGATGATGTGGGACCTGGTGTGTTTGTGATGATGTGGGACCCCGTTGTGTTTGTGAACCCAGTGTAGACAGAACAAAAAAATTAACACAGAACACCCCTTAGAAACTTTAAATGTATTCATGTGACGCCTAGCTGTGAAACCAGGGCGGATATGACGCAGTGATTTGACTCGGACAATAGTTGTAAAAATAGAAGCAAGTCATTGATGTTTTTATCTAATGAAAAGATGGAAGAAGTTGAGTCTAACATCTGTTACCCCCATCTCTTTATCCTCCCTTAACCCTAAT